GGCTACTTATGAACAAAAAGTTCGTCTTTTAAACACATCTGATAATCATTATTTATTAGTTTTACTTTACAGTGTTTACTTGCACACGATGATTAATATAATTGATAAGATAGCAATGTAATTCTATAGAAACTTGAGACGATCAAATAAACAGTTATATATTTTGTAGGAGTTTTTGAGAACGTGATGATGAGATATGTTATTAATGTGTGATGTATTTTGATCGACGTAGTGATATACTGTGATGTATCTTTTACACATCACTAACAATGAAAGAACAAATACTTTAGGTAATGAAAGTATATGGGTTGTTTATTTAGTAAAGTGTATCATATGCTCTACTACACAGCGGCTTATTTGAATAATCCCAAGAATCTAAATTGTGGAATGATCCTGAAATGACGTTGTGGGCAAGGAGTGGGATTTCTCTTTGATCTTTGCTCCAGGTATGACGGCCTAATACACTATAGGTATTAGCAACACGACACTAAAGGTGGTTGTCATTACTATAACATTACAATGTGATGCAGTAAGGGAGGACTGAAATGTAATCCCACTGTTGTTTGAAGAAATATTTGACCCACTTTCTCTGTTTCAAAAAAACATGTTTTAAAATGCTTTCAGACTATCCTTTTGAATCTTTTCCGCTGCGTAACCCTTGTCTCTAAATATACGTAAAAGTTGTTTAAAGGGATACGAAAAGACACATTTGTGATTTCATCCCCCAAATCACTTAAATGGATCTCTGTCGAATTTTGTAAGTTGCTTGGGTGACACCGTCTTCATTATTTAAACCCCATTTTATTAATTTATTCATATGCTTATTAGGTGATACATATTCACATTTGTTTATCGGATGCAAACAGTTATCGGATACAAAGGATTGGGACAGGGACATCTTAAAAAGGGATACATTGACATGTTCACACATTTTTGATTATAGGTCTTACAGGTTCCCCTTCTCCAAACTAAATTTGGTAGGTATGTTGCTTCGGTGGTGGTTATTCAAATGCTGTAGTTCGTCGAATCCATAGTACCAGGACTGAGACAAATTTAGACATTTCATTACTTTTCTCCTACACAACTTCGTAAACTTTAACCAGCTTTGGTAGACATTATGTTTGCGTGATACTTAATTGATTTTCTTCATAAGGGCGAGGCGGAGAAAATTTAGGGTTCTTCTTCTAAATCACACAGTAGGTATGTCTATTAAAATGAAATACACGGGCCCCACAGCTCACGGGTAATGGATCATCAACTGTCGGGTGCATTCTTTTAGAATTTTGGTGTTGATTGGGTGGTACCTGTTTAGATATTTTTAAATTAAGTTGATTGACCCTCATGCTACAGACATTTCATCCTTCTACCGAACCATTATCCCGAGTTCTATCCCTGAGCTATTATATTTTAACAATATCAGAAAACTTAATGCTGACACGGCGTCACCAACCAATGTGAATGTAAACTATTACTCATTTATAAACATCTAAACCCTTTGAATACCTGTAAAATAATAAAACCTTTTTGTACGTCATACATAGTCATTGTCATTTGATCATTCAGATTCAATGACCCATCATTTTTGTACTGGTGTTCTATGGTATCCTATACAAATTTCTTAACATATTGGTCATTAGTTCGGCATTTCAACTCAAGTATGTTACATATTTTCTTAACAATATATAATAGATACAATATTATTTTAGATATAACAAAGGTATTGATACTTTGCTTTAAGATAGTAATCAAACATTTGGTTATCAGTAGAAAACACCAAGATTGAAAATATAGAAATATTTTCAGTGTTCATTCAGGTGTTATGTTGCTTTGCTATTTGACTTCTTTGAATTTGTCATTTTAAATTCAATTTGCAAATTAAACAAAGTACATCTATCGTACTGAAAGTTCATGAAAGCATATCAAACAATACATTCTTTTCAAAAATATTTGAGGTTATAATACTTACATTTCCTAAGCAGTGAGAGATTTATATAAAAAAAATACACTCGCCTGAGCACCTTCGCCTTTCAGCAAAAAGTTTTCATTCATGTATTAAAATATGAATTTATACAATGTCTTCCTTTTTATGGTAAGGTTGTTGTTTGTCTATCGCATTCATAATAGATGTGGTGTAAGTTGTTTGAGAAAAAAAGAGAGATTTGATTACTAAAAAATATGAAAGGTATGCACTAAATGCACCTCTGTTTACTGTGACATATATGGCCACAAGTGTGTGATATTTTTATTAATACCCTACCTATGGCTTCTTAAAAGGAATGTAACGGAAACAATTGGGCATTTATTTATTGTTCTTCAGATCTCCGAAAAATTCCTTCACGTTATTCATGTTTTATTCATTAAACGCACGTTTATATTATGTCACACTTTATCCTATATTTTTACATTTAATGAGAATTTAAACAAAACATTTTCAGCTCTGATGTAAGGGTCATAATGTCAACACAGATTTTCTTAATAATGCCCCTTTTACGTATTCAGTATAGCCGAATGAAAAAATTCATAACATTTACAGACTTGGAAATAAAAGTTGATATCAAGTCTATTGGATTTAATTCTTTTTATATAAACCAAATAAAATCCAAATTAGAACTTTAAGTGATGCTTAATCATTCTAGAAAGTCTCATACCACTTTCATGTATCACTGAAATTCTGAGAAAACGCTTCGAATAGCGACGCTCTCTCAGCGCCAAAATTCAGAGGGCATGCATTCTCAAAGTCACCGGTTCCAGTGCATATTCTGTGAAATCTTAGATTTTGTTTTAATCTCATGAAAATATGTTTGGGGGGGGGGGAATGAGTTTTGCAATAGGAGTTGATGTGTATCCGTTTCTTGAAGAAAAAACTTTGATATCGAGTTTACTGGTATTTTCAAAATTATTTCCTATAAAAGCTGTTGTATCGAGGTCTATACTTTTCGCTTACATTCTTTGTTTCTTTTATTGAAAGATGATAGGTATTTCATATTTCGAAATACTCTCAAATTTTTTCCGGAAAATATTGCCATACGATAAATATGTCACCAAGGAAAAGTCCATAGAACATACGTTTTGGTGGACATAGGCGAAGAAGTTCGCACTCCCACTCCGAGAGTAGTTAGATTTGATAGCTGGGGCAAATGTTTTACCCATGGTCGCTACAGATGTTAGTATGTATAGAAAGTTCGGATCTGAGTTGGGTTTGGACGGTACGGAGCTCCGCTATCATTCACTGGCACAATCTGTGATAAAATTGGTTCCGGTGACACCTATTATCCAAAGCTTCTAGCTAGCTGTTTTGTGACTTTTACTAAGCACTGTATTTGACGTCAAAAGTTACAATTAGGGTAACATAAATGTTAGGTATTACCTCAATGCTTATGTTAACGCTATTATGTGAGAAGTGCACCTAGCTGTTCGGATAGGACGAAATATCCAGGTACACCCGTTCACACATTGGCGTGCAGTAAAGGAACTCTTTGTTGTTGGAAATCAACGATCAAGTAGGCGGAAACTGCTTTACACGGACAAACTTTTCCTAGGTAAATAAATTTAAAAACCTACTTTATACCTCATCCAACATAGTTATGTTGACAAAAAATTAGCCAAATTATCTGAAGGACATGGTCACTTTAAAAGAAATATATTAACTCCTATAATCAAAATGAAGGTCATTTCAAAGTTGTTAGTTGTGTCAGGTTTATGAGATCAAATAAGCTGTCAGATCGCCTTTCAATTAGCCTTAGATTTAAATTATATCAATAATGACCACTTTACTGTAAAATTAGTTTACCTTTCCCCATCCTTTTACTCTTGCCAGTACAAATATATTAACAATTCATCGTGAACTGTGTGTAAAGGTCTCTTGATTTGGTTGCCTGTTTAAACAATAGTACATCAACTCACCCCATTAACGATACTTTCATTTAGGTCAAGATAAATATATTCCATTCGGTCAACAACTCATTTAACATTGTTAACTTTCATTGACAATCCTGTTAAAGTATGTAGGCTGGAATTCGTAAAAAAGGTAGGTAATCTTCAACGTCACCCCCTAATAAAGGACTGGTTTTATAGTTATCACAGTTTCTCTATATCGGATCTTCATATACCAAGAGAGAGAGAGAGAGAGAGAGAGAGAGAGAGAGAGAGGGGGGGGGTAACGTCTACTCAACATAAACTAAGGACTCGAGAAACCTACGAGGTTAGGCTAACGACATAGGCTACTCCATGTCTCGTACACGCCTGGGTTCTGAACATGTGACTAAATGGCACTTTCTCCGTATCGGATCTTGATATATCAAGAGAAAGAGAGAGAGAGAGAGAGAGAGAGAGAGGGGGGTACGTCTACTCAACATAAACTAAGGATTCGGAGAAAACCTACGAGGTTAAACAGGCAACATAGGCTACTGCATGTCTCGTACACACCTGGGTTCTGAACATTTAACTAAATGATAGACCTTGTTATATAAAGCAAATCCTTTAGGTCACCTAGCCACATACTTCCCTTCAACTGGACAGTGTTATGGAGTCTAATAGGACGTTTTATATGTATACCACTTTAATTCGTATTTTGTCGTCGTGGTTGTGGTGATATTGGTGGTAGTGGTGGGAGGTGGGCATTTCTAAGGTTGGTTTATATTCGTACGTGATCTGCATGTCTATGACAATGCATAGTCCAGACTTTCAATATTGAAATTAATCCCGCGATTTGTATTAGGAATGCCCGACCTGTAGTATGAAACCACTTCTCAGTAGTGTGTAGAATCCCGCCTCGCCTGCAATGTGGAAATATCTTGGCAATTGCATGGAACCCTTCTCGGCGTCGTTGAGCATCTCCAGTCAGAAATAACAGGGGCTCTCTTTATTTAGACAGTGTCGGTATTATATTAGTTAGTGTTATAATCAAACAGGCGTCATCGGCTACATTTATAAAGTGTTAATTTGCAACTGAATAAACGATTAGAAAATGAAGATAGTATCATATTATATGAAACACAGCTGCGTGCCCCTTTATCGCATTCAGTTTACAAATATCACTTTAGAAAAGCATCGATAAGTATACAACGTTCGGGAATAAATATACCAGTGGTCGAACTACAATTTACTATTCTTGTTTCAAAATATACCATATTATGATGTATTAATTATATTCTTTTCTCTCGACCTTTGATAAAATATACGTCACTTCTTTTTTATACTTAAATTAATTTGTATATATAACTATACTACAGCCAGTTGTGTGTAATTAAAACTGACCTGTTTTGGTCGTGAACAGTAAGAATGTTAATAATGAATTAACTTTAAGTTCTCTATAGAAAGCCAACATAACAGTTGAACCATGAATATACCTTATATAAAGATATTAAAACCATATGTACTATGTAAGGTACCCTGACTTTATAATCGACTTGTTATTTTCTACTTTAGTTCGACCCATTATAAACTATTAACAACACATAAATTATGGTTGTTTATGATAGCTTCTCAATAGATACAACTTAAGAACTTAAATGTTTTGTTTTCCTTTTCGGCCCTCTGTGTAATTTAATGTGTTGTGGACCATGAACAGGACCCGTGGGGGGTCCACTAAATTTAATCAACAACGTATATGTAACCGCTTCTCTCTCGTTATTGTTATATTGTTAACACGTTGCCTTTGCTTTAGAAGGTTGAGAAAACACCAATAATAATATTGTTAGTTTAAAAAAAACAACATAAAATTTACTTCAGCGTTATATGTAAACTTATAATGAATATATAATACTATATCTGTAACGATCAAACGTTGTCCAAGATATTTCTGGATAAAGGTACACACTTTAAATCTATTAATTTTTATTCCAGCATGAAAACCTTGGTGAATTTATAATCATTATTATAAACTAATTTTATGTTCGCAGAAAGACACTTAATGTTGTTATGACCATGTCCGACAGGTTTATCGTAACCAACGCAGCTTAAATCACCACGCTATACTTGTTATTCACGCATATTGTCACTGGCTTTAAATATTTATTAGAAAAGTAATATTTACTTTGTGCATTCAAATATAAAACTTTAGCATTAATATAGGAGTAAATACTAATAATACAAACTACATTATTTCGGTTACAATATGGCACGTTATATTAGTTTATACAAGATAAAATGTATGTTTATTTACACATTTAAAGCTCTAATTCATCAATAATAAACCACCAAATAAAATTCTTATTGCTTCTGAAATGACGTCTTTCAAATGGAAACCACAAGCTGCATTGTGTAACAATGTATATTGCCAAATCTAAGAAAATGTCGTATGGTTTGAGTTTCTTATTGTTAAATTCACAGGAACACCAAGTATATATCCCTGACTGGCAGATTATTTTAGATTATTACAGAATGATAACGATGATAGCTATTTCACCACAATGTTAAACCTGAAAATTTCTTTGGCGGTTCATTATGTTATTCAATTAACAAGTATATACTTATTATTCAACATTTACTTATTAAAACCGGGATTGACCTATAAATATGATATATATTTATCTAGATATATATACAAATATTATTATATATCAGCTGCCATATTGTTACGATTATCCATTAATCTAGGATAATCTAAGCTTAGTTATTATAACAAATAGGACCAGAGCACTGCGGTTACACACATGCTTGCCAAGTAATCGTTAGTTAAATTTCCCATAACCGAATCTAATATAATATTTAAGACATCAGGAAAACACAAAATACGTAATCACGCTTGTCCTTTATCTAGCCCGAAGAGCACAAAAGAAACCTTCGCTGAAAGAAAATTGCAATGCTTTACCATCTCTGCCGCCATTACATAGTCATGTCGTTTTGGATCAGTGTGATTTAAGTCCCGCACTTTCACAATTTACGAATTGGTATAATAGTATCTTCTAGTTTTATTGTCATAGTCGTACTCCGGAGCAGGTGTGTCATAGCGGATAACATCTAATGAAGGAACCCCTTCGACCTGACGCCCATTGCGCTGCCATGCAGATTCCCGGGTTTTGTTGGATGCCTGTAGATTGGTAACGGGCACATGTTTCATTCCTAGAGATTCGGCGTCCAAGTTATACGTATGACCTGAATATTTTACTTTCTCGGATTCTAGTTCTCGTCGAGGAGCATTCATCGCCGTTTTAACACTTACTGATTCTGCGTCTATTTTGTTTCCTTTCATAGCATCTGGTCCACCACGAATCTGTTCATTGATTTTATTCAGTTTGGGAACACGCAGTGCTCCTTTTATAGACACAGATGCAGCGTCAACACAAACACTCTTATTTGAAGGCATGTGTGTTGTACAATAAACATTGACATCCTCAAGATCGTTCGGATTAACGTGATAATTCTTCACATTTAAGATGGTTCCGCAAACGACGCAACTGAAGCAAAATTTATGGTACAAGCAATCTTTAACAGGCCCAAGCTTTTCCATGGCGTAAACTTTCTTACCACATTTCAGGCAGCACTCTTTATTAATAGGTCGTTCATAGCACGGTGGAACGGGCGCATAAATCTGTTTATTCTGTTCGCTGACATTGGAATCAAAAACCTCTCCAACAGACGTTCGTTTAGCACTTGAAAGAGAATCTGATCTGGACAATCCGTGAGGTGACTGGGTTGTGTCGTTTGAGGTAAGTGTATCAGAGCTGTCATAGACACAGTTTAGACTAGTATCAGGGCTAGACGTGGCGCCATAAGAAGATTCACTTTGAATTGACATACTGGAGGTGGAAAGGCTGGGAGAAACTAGAGGTAGATGGTCTGATTGGTTACTTGTTGTTGAAGTGCGTTGGCTTTGCGATAGGTTAGGATTGCCATTTGTTAAATTCGATATATATTGTGGATTACCGTTACCATTCTGGTGAGCGACAAACCCATTTGGTATCGGCTGTGGCATCAGCTGTTGTTTTGGAAGTCCACTGAATAAGGCTGCTGTATAAGGCTGACCGGGAAGCCCATGGGTAAAATTAGATTCATTCGGTTGTCCATATGGCTGGGGTTGATACTGAAGATTGTTGAAGTTGTTTATACCTGCATCGTATCCCAAGTTTGGTGTACTGGCCTTAAGTGTACTGGAGCTGGAAAGGCTGGGAGAAACTAGAGGTAGATGGTCTGATTGGTTACTTGTTGAAATGCGTTGGCTTTGCGATAGGTTAGGATTGGCATTTGTTAAATTCGATATATATTGTGGATGATTACCATTACCATTCTGGTGAGCGACAAACCCATTTGGTATCGGCTGTGGCATCAGCTGTTGTTTTGGAAGTCCACTCAGTAAGGCTGCTGTATAAGGCTGACCGGGAAGCCCATGGCTAAAATTAGATTCATTCGGTTGTCCATATGGCTGGGGTTCATACTGAAAATTGTTGAAGTTGTTTATACCTGCATCGTATCCCAAATTTGGTGTACTGGCCGTAAGTTGCCCTCCATTATATAGACCAAGCCCAGTTCGTGGATTGTTTAGTATTGGTGGGGATGCCTTTGTAGGAGATTCTTGTACAGAAACAACGTAATATTGATTACCTTGACTTCCTGCTGCTGATGGTGGTACTGTCATCTGGTTTGGTCCGAGGGAAAGAGAAGATAACCCACTTGTTAATGGAATGATACCAGAAGGGGTTACTAAGTATGGATTGTTTCCTACCCACACAGTACTGGAACCGGTTAGATTTTGAAAACCGTTGTTATCCATTTTGCAACTAAAACCCGAATAAAGTGTCGCTATCACTCAATCGTTTTAAATGTCACCCAATCAAAATATTGATTTTCAAGTTACTTATTAAAACAACCAAACACTCGGGTCACAGTGAATTCATCAAACCGCTTCCTTTTATAAAACGCCCTTTATTTGGTATATCTATATTACAGGAATAATCCAATTTTGAGATCTTTTTGTATTCTGAAAATATAACAAATATAGCCATTAGTGTCACTTAGAGAGTGTCGTGGAAAGTACGGACGATGTATAAAGAAATTGTAATCGGGCCAAATATACTTTGTACGGGGTAAATGAACCAAGATTGAACATATTGACCCATTGATAGTAGAATTTGGACAAAATATTCGGTTAATATATAATTACATGTATGTATGTTATTATTCAGCTTGCCGCCACCTCGTTTGTCGAGGCGATCACATTCCAGACAGATATCATCAGACTTGGGTCTTTATTTAAAACACTTTTATTGTAATATATCTCTTTATCTATATTTTCGCGTTACTTAAAATCACAAAAAGATGAAATAGTTCACATTATTAAAAGAAAGAAATCGTCTAAATGTCAATGAAGAGATAGTGACACAGTTTTGGCATATGAAAGGCGATGGCCCATACCAAATATAAATCCATAATATTTAAAGCGGTGGTAATACTTTCACTAAGATCTTAATTTCGTGTAGGATTTTGAAAATCCATGTGCAACTATCGCTCCTTTTAATTATAATTAGTGACAAGTGGCATGACCATAGCATAGTATGACACTACAGCCATAGCGAAAAAAAACCCCAAAACAATGTAGGATGGGATCTTTATAAGAAAATTTGTAGGCACAAATATTCAAACAAATGTCCATTTAATTTTAATGCTACCCAAGAAGTATTATAAATTAATGCTTAACAAAAAAATAATCAGAATAATTATTCAAAATAACAAAAATAATATTTCAGAATAAAAATGTAGACATACGACCGATTAACCGTGTTTCATGTGGTGATTTGAATATCGCTTGCCTAGAATAATCACATTAAATACCATCACGTATTAATAGTTAAATAAAGTCTCACTGTTCTCTCTACATTTTTTAACTTATATTTTCGTCCCATCCCCACCCATTATTTCTTTGTTCGGTATTTTTGGGTCAACAGTACAATAATCAATGCCAGTTTGACGCCAGTTGGAATACCCAAAGACTTCTAACAAGATTACCGGTCCACGTATTATCACGTACAATCGCATTGGTTAAATCCCTGTAGTCCATTGCGCACTGATTTGGCCATATGATGAACCCCATCAACTCCTCTTCAAAACCCTGTGATGGAGAAAAATGTCTCACGAATCTGTAGAGTGCAACTTAAGCCACCCCATTCATAACACAAAAATACGGAATATTGTCCTTGACAAAAATTTACGCCTAATTTAAGACGCTTAAAATGGATATGTATAATGATAACATAATTGTAGGTAGATAACTTTTAAAAAGTGATAAATGATATGGGCTGTTTCAAAGATAGGATCGACATGGCTGAATCAAAGTCTTTATATGAGATGAGTCAATAATACCAAACATTATCATAGCCATCATACGACACACTATCTGGAACAATAGGATGCAATAAAACAGAATGAAACCGTCCACAATTAACTGAAATGACCCAAGAAGATTATGAAATCTGTCATAATTAAAATGTTCTGATGATATATTAAATGTCTTTTCTAGTATTTAGTATTTTTAACAGCTTAATATTTGGAATAAACAAATATATCATAAACGAAAAGACAAATTGTTGGGAAAATAACTTTAACGGGGGATTACAGACACTTGTCATAAGCCTAAACTATTCTTCATTCGAGCGAGTTTTATTGTGACAAAAGAACAATCTGATTAAACACAGATCCTGTTTCATTTCGTTTTTTATAGTTCAAAATTTCGTTTTACTTACAATCAATACACTTCATGTAGTGGAGGCCATCGGAAGTATAATTAATAAAAACTAAATTTTCACTAAAGTCGCTGTGCGTAATTTGCATTTTTCGGACCATGGATTAAAGATGCATTATGTAAGATAAATAGCTGACAGTTCTCGCTATAATTGTTAAAAAAAATAGATAATGAATAGGGATTGCAAAATTCCGTCAAATTACTTTATTCTGAGCGAAGTTATGACCGTTTAAAGAATACTCTCGATTGTTATTGCTACCGTTGTTACGATAATAAACAAAGTCTCGATTATACGTTTAAATCCGTTGAAAATCACAATCATTCGATTCCCTAGAAAATTGATAACGGCCTTGTCAAGTAAATAAGTATCTAATTCATGATTTATATAACATTTAGCTCTTACATAATGCATCTTTAATTTATGTTCAAATGAATGAGACTTTAATGCATTAAGAAGTTTTCTATTCCCAACGCCACAATTAAAATAGCTAATTAAGTATGCAATAAACGGGGGCATGTCATAACTTACTATTTTACTGTCTTTAAAGAAATCTGCATGGAATTTGTTTTATTACTAAATAATTTAACTGTCATGGCACAAGATTTTCTTATTCGCATTACGAAAAATCTCCAAGGAATTTATTTAACAAGAAATATACGAATAATTAAGCAGCTGTCATTTCAAAACAATAAAAACGGAATAATTAACTTATAATTACTTGAACCTGTCATAATGTTTCTTATTTCAAGAAAAATGTAAAGAATGTGGAAGGTTGTTGTGTCAATAGAGACGACGTCGTCCTGAGAGACTATTAATAGGGATAGTCTTTTTTCTTAAAAAATATAATTGCCAAACCTTAATGTATTTAGACTAAATTCTTCACAAAAAAACCCTCTATCCGGGTACAAGGTCATAATTACAGTTGTGCAATCTATAAATTTGTTCACAGAGAACTTTACAGTATATATAAATTCAGTGAAGCGAAACTTTATTAAATAAAGCTGTAGCATTGCAACGGTGAGGTGGGATTCTCCCTCCCTCCCTCTCTCTCTCTCTCTCTCTCTCTCTCTCTCTGTGTATGCATAAAAAGACCTACACGCGACTAACAGTTATAACTATCGACTGGGAGATTGCAGTGAGTTGTGAAAACAAACGGCCATTATTCAACGAAAACTGTTTAAATCTGCATTACACAATTACATATATATAACAGATGGTGTAATACTTAAAATTAAATTACTTTTCAATACAAACAGATTCGATTTTCGAGTATAATAAAGTTGTAATAAGCATACAAATTGATAGTAAATTGGAAGCTTTTATAACCGTTGCAGACCATAGTGTATTTTGTTAAATGAATCCTTTAAATCAATAGTAGAAACATATGCATAATAATAAACATCTATCGATCACATTATAGGGACCAGTCTGCTTTTAAAGCTTTCATATTTCCTATAGTATTAAATCTAATCGAAATAAATTCGAGCATAACTTACACATAAGTCAACATTACCCTATTGTTTACAAACAGGGCTATCAGATAAGAAACTAAGCTATAATATAACTTATTCAGCACAAAAACAAAAAATTAATCTACAGATTTTGATTGCCTAAATAAATTATAAGTAAAACCATAAGCATGTTAAATTCGAATCTGAAAGACGAAATTCGAGATACCAGTACCAGATCAGAGTTGCAGTACATATAATCTCATGCAAGTCATTCCGATAACAATTATGACGAAATTAACTGACCAGTGGTTGATATTTTGTTTTACATATAAAAAAGAAGCATATTATATATGACCTTATCGTATGTCAGTGTTTAATTTTACATTTGACATAAAAAAAAACAGATTGCCAGAATGGAATTTTATTCTTCGCTCAACATTATCTAATATCGTTTAATATGTGAAATAAAATTCATTTTTGATAACGGTACTGACATATACATGTCCAATTATATTTAACTTTAAACTTACTGCCTATATTTCATTTACAAGTTCAGTTATGTTGATGAAGAAATATATAAAAGCTATAAGATGTAAGTATAACTAACCACCTACCTGTTGCGGTTCAGAGTTTCACTCACTATATGTAGGTACTAGTCGTGTCACACTATAACTCTCAACAACGCTCTGCTCAAAACGTGGTCACGTGTTCTTATACAGGTAAGAGTTCTATATAAGTAATGTGTACTGTGCTGGTCTTTTAAGGAAATATTTCCCTGGTGTCATGTTAGATGAATTTAAGTTTTTATCCAGTGAAATGTTATAAATTGTAGTGGGTGGCAATCTGTGGTCTCGGGTTCTAATATTTAAATTTTTACAGTCTACTGATTCGCAGTTCATAGCTCAAATAGTCCTACTCGTTAATACAACAATATCAACGGTGTATAACGTCCATTTCGATTCAAATACGATACTATAGCAGAGTTCTAGACCTCTTTGCTTTCGGTCAAAAATTTGTTTTCGATATGTTGGAATGTGTTGAAGGATAATCTTCCTTTGTTGAAAATGCTAGATAAAGCCAACCGATTTTGTGTTTCACTATCAACATTACTTCTCCAAATTTGAACTAAAATTAATAAACGGACAGACTTTCGCTTAATCTTTCGAAACAATAATTTAATCGTATAGAGCTTGTCACATCACTAATAGAAATAACACAGATTAATATATTTGGACCTAAATCAAAGAGGTTTAGCTCCTTTAATACTGTACACTTATTCTCTGTTTCTTTGTTGGTGGTGATTTTTATGTGTTCCTCAAAACAACTTTTCGTTATTCTAACAGTCATTTCGACGGCAGACAGAAAACGAATGACCCGACAGCGAGGATCACAATGGCAGCTTTGGCTCTCAATACGATCAAGTTTCGGAGTCCCTAACATCGGAACCCTTCCGCCATTACGACACCCTCCAATACATATGACTAACTGGAGTGGTTGTTTGGGCTTAGTTTTCAGAAGTCGGATCTAGCAGTTAGAACGACCTGTACAAGCGGTGTCACAAGCCCAATGGTTGAATACAAATTTACAACAGAATTTGTTAAATAAGCTAACTTATCAATTGAAGTCAAAACTTTCGCACCATTTAGCAATAATATATATAGTGATATGCATAATGTCCGAGACAGGCTGTGCTACAACAAAGTGAACAATTCAAGAATGTGAAAATTTCTTTACATTACTTGTACGTAGACCTTGATAATTCTCCACCCTATCAATAAGATAAAAATAGAAATAGAATGAAAAGGAGGTCTCTTTTAAATGGATTCAGATGTTCTATAAAGAGTAACAATACACTGCCTAGCTTGTTCTTTTTTCATTTTATAAAATATTGACAATAAACGGTCAGCAAGCCGTGTAACAAAGCGTTGTTTACAAATAGATATGTGGTAAATGGACGAATCGTAGCGAAATCTTATGGAAAAAAATGTACATAGAAACACATAAATTATGCATTTACATCGGCAAGGTCGAATTAGCATCCTTACGAAAACTAAACAAAAAGCTGATGTAGACATACTAAATGAATAGAAAAAGTTAACTACATATACCGCAGAGTTATTTCCTCTTCAAAAGTTCACGCGCTCTCTCACCTTTACGGGTAGTGATTGGACGAGATGGGCCTTTATTTATTCTGGCATTAGAGTAAGAAAAAGATAGATTACTTCAGCACTATTACAATTACATCAAAGAAAGTCGACAAACTTTTGAATGAGGTGTGAAGTCATTTTGTTTTAACTGTTATTCTGTGTACTTATGGTATCGGTTTGATGACACACGTGCGCTTAAACTTCACTCTAAACTTAATCATTTTCGTGATAGCTTTATTACGTCTTCTAAACTGTTTTACTTCGTGTGTAGAGAAAATAAAAATAACTAGTCGAACAAAAAATATGAGAATATTGAAAGCCGGGTGTTTTAAAAACTGAGCAGAGTGTTGATATTTAAAATGTGCCTGGTTAAGTTTAAACGACTTGGTTCCTTGTGTATGTACCACATAGGTTTGCGTATCTATTTTATAACAGCTGAGAATTGATTACCCCGCTGCTTCATATTAATAAGTGTCTTCCGTCTTCATGTGCCCGGTTGGTGAAGAAAAGTAGGGCGTTAAACCCCATTTCAATTCATTCCATTCTTTATGTAACTCTACTAGAGTATCTTTTACCCCCCCCCCCTATTTTATATTGTTATATCTTTGATTGCTGTTGCATTTGTTATTTCTTTATGTCGTTTTACTTTTACTTATAGTTTACGTGGGGTGGGGTGGGTGTTGGGGGTCTGGGTGCTTCAAAAGTACTGTTTTGATTTATGTTGTATAAGTCCGCCTATTGTACTTGAAACAATGTAAAAGTTGAGATTTATGTACCTAATAAAACTAAGGCACCGTATGAAACCACGACACCGTACTAACACATTAATTTTGCCCTGTTCGAAAATGGATTAGCGGTTAAAGGATAATTATAGTCCAAAAAACAGAGGTTAATTTTCATACATATATTTAATATTTTTTTAAACTCCATTTTACAGGAGAAGTCTCATAGACGTATTTCATTTAATAAAAGTAACAGATTCGTAATGAAATACTCTTACAAACCTTTATCCTAGTCCTATGCAGCTATCTGCAGGTGAAGGGCATGTTTCCTCTTAATCCATCGTAAAACCTATTGAAGTCTCAATATGATCTTTGACGCTGCAAACAAATTCAGATTTATTTTGTCCAATGTATGTTGGTTGTCGTCCGAGCGGAGACAGTATAAGCTATGTGCTTGTCGTGCTGGTGGATGCTATTTCGCCCTTTCACTTATAATATTAAAGAATGGCCGAGGTAAACCTCATTATGAAATCGTGGGACATAACACACAAATTCCTAGTTTGGCGGGGTGCGGGTGGGGGGTGTGTGGAGGCAGAGGCTGTTTGCCCGAAAAAAAATTTTGTCACCCAAATTTTCAGAATGAATCAGTCAATTACTAAAGCGAATTTTCCACAAAGCTGTGATGGTTGTTTATTTTTAATTAATTACACAATTACACAACAATATAAATTTACAATAGCAGAAATATACTTAATGTTCCACATTCTCTGTTGTTTGTGCCCGAAAAACGGAAATACATTGCCCGAAAAATCAATCTGATTAAAACACCGATCCTATTTCGTTTTGCTTTTTATAGTTCAAAATTTCGCTTTACTTGTCTTTACTACAGTTGTTATATAACCCGCGTCCTGGTTGAAGGATTAGCTGATGAAACGGTCTGTTGCAGCGAGTTCTTGGCCTGCGATGCACGGAACTGTGGGTATCCCACTAGAAATGTCAACGCTGATTGGTTAATCAAATGTTTGACGTCATAGGGACAAAAGCCGCTCGTATGACCCCTGACACGATCTCCCACTACAACTAGTCAGATCTTCACGTAGTAGAGGCCATTGAAAGTATAAAAAAACCGAAACGAGATCTGTATTTTAATCAGATTGCCGAAAAGGGTCGGTTCACCGAATCTGTGGGATCGGGGGTCCCCCCCCCCTCACACACACACCTGGTGCTAATTTCTCGTATTGTATCTTGAATCTCGGCGGCGGTAAATCAAACCACTGCGCAAAAGGTAAAGTCCTTATGGTGGTGTTACGATAAATTGAGAACAAAATGAGAAATAAAACAACTGTTGACAGGCTATTGCTATATGTATGACATCATTTAATTTTAATAACTGAAATGAAATAAAACTTGGCAAATGTACCTGAATTTAATAATAATTGGCACTCCTTAAGGAATTTAAGAAGTTACATTCAAATGGTACTTAACATTTATAGAGTGTGCGCATCGTGAAAGGTCGTGTCTTGACTGTCGGTCGTCCAAATGTTACATTTAGTGGCAGGACTAAAAATAAAGTCTTGAGTAATACGTATATATTTATATATAGTAGTGGAATTGACCCCCTTCCCCACCCCACCCCACTTTTTTTAATAGAAATGCACGGCTTATTCAATTAAACACCAATTCCGTTTAGATCAGTTTTTCTCTTGTGTTGTTAGGGTTATATTGCATAAGGAATATTGTATTCTTTTACTGCTCGTTGTTTAAATTGTTTAGCAGATGTAATCAACAAGTACGAGCGTACTACGGACCAGGACCCGAGCATGACGGGATCACAGCCATCTTGGAATTGTGTGACGTTCTATCACAAATCGTACTTGAATGGATGGAGTCTACACGTAAGTATTTTCATCTGCCGCCAAGAACAACAACAAGCGCTCGGGAACCAGTTCCTGGTCCTAAAAGTCTATTTCTCTGGACCTTACCAACATTTGCTTGCTTCACTCGGAAAGGAGCACGTCCAACTCCACCATTGAACCCAGTAGATATTTTTAACACAATATTACAGCCCCATTTTGTCTGGAGATAAAAGACGATGTGCCAAAAATTTCTCAGAGATTACACTTTCTTTGAAATTTCGTTAAATGTAATGTGAATGAACTTTATAATCTTTGGCAATAGTCTCATAATGGTCATATTGATTTACGATTAAATTTATTATGCGAAGGACACAAATTACATGGAAACAATACAACTGGGTCGATATAATGCAACAAATAAATAAATAGAATATAAATAAGTCTTAGCTCATATGACAATATATAAAAATACAGACCAGACTAAAAGTAAATCTTTGCTGTGACAATAGAAGCTGATGAAAGTCAAAATGGGGTTTGATTTGTGTTTTAGTCCTGTATTGGAATTTCAGCCATGCTGTACTTCTGATTCTACATTTACGTTTGTCGAAACACTTGTTTTTTCTACACCATATGAACGCTTATTAAATAGAGTTGTGAATTAATTAACCTACTGATAATTATTGTTTTATATTTTAAAAAAGTTGTATATGCCAACTAAAGGAACAGGCCGGGGCGGATCCAGGAATTGTTGCAGGAGGGAGTTTGCCAGGTTTTCTGAGACGATGTATCCCCCCCCCCCTCCCCCGCATGGTCTCTGTCGTCATTTCGGCGTGTATTCATACACATTGAGTTTTTTAAACAGAGAAATTCAACACATCGTTTGACGTCAATTTTTATTATGAATTAATACAATGACATTGTGATTCAATTTCATGGATGCAAAGCATTAATTAATTGTGATATCACATAATGTCTATATCATTATCTCATGCTTTGAGTGCCCATCCTGTCCCACATCTGACGATAAAGGATAAAGCACACGGGCGAGAAACTTTTCTCATAAAAAGTGTTGATTTACCCAAAAATATATGTAGCTGAGCGGGGGGGGGGGGGGGGAGGGGTCGACCACCTACCCCCCCCCCCCCCCGTGGATCCGCCCCTGCAGGCTTCATTGTTTGCGGTACAAGGGAAGTAATTACATTTTAAAAATGAAAAGTTTTCAGACTGTAAAACAATTTAAGAACAGTACAAAATAAAAATGAAATGAAATGGGGTTTATCGTCCTACTGCTCTGCTCCTATACTGGGCTAATGAAGACGGGCATACGCCATACAGTGTGCTATGAGGGAAATTTTGCCCGGGCAGCGGCACTATCGCCTACTCTTATATCGAATGCCAACTGCCAAGGGATCTTTTACGTACATTCCCATGTATACACGGGACCTCGGTTTTTCGTCTCATCCGAAGGACTAGATAGCTGTCCTTGTCAGGCCCTCTGTTCTGCACCACTGACAAGAATAGCGAGCGTCTTAACCATCTAGCCACCGTGGCTCCCCTAGAACAGTACATGTTTCGAATAACTGGTGAATTTACTTTAAAGTATTAAAATGTGAATATCAGTAACTAATCTGTTTCTTATCGATATCTGATGCACTAGTTTCGAATTTGTTTATATTATCAATGAAGTGATAAAATGTGTCAATTTCTGACCCAGTGATTACGTTTCTAGTGTAAGGAAAGATTTGTAATATAAGAATCTTCAATGAAAAAAATGGAATTAAACAGTTAGAAGGTTTAATGGATCCATGTGATTTAAAGCGTCGACACACGGATTCAAAATTTTCACAGTCTACAACAGAATACAATACAGAACAGCTGTATTCATCCGCAAAAAAAATAGTACCTAAAATTCATGTACATTATATAGGTTTAAACGTCAAATGAGGTCAAATGAATAGATACGTTATACTAAATATTCGTATCATCCCAAATCGACAATAAAACAGTGAGAAAAAGGAAAATCTAAGTAATGGCAATCTAATTAACATAAAATTTACGACATAATGGATTCTTCAATGTTTTGATGGTGATCATGAAGAAAATAGGCCTACATCTGTTCTCAGGAATCCGATAAGATTTTCAAAAAAAAAGATCAGTAGAATTATAGATTGTTATTCCACAAAGTCGAAAGGTATGTTAGATTTTTCATTCAGTCAAGTTAGAGCGAGTTTATTGCCGTACTTTGAGCTCCAAACCCGATAGAAATGAAGGCGGAAGTGTCCATAATAGTTTTAGAGATCACTACGTGATGGCGCTCCTGCGTCGCGACAAACGGGGCCGATTTGTCTAGCAATGTATATTAACTATTTCCATAATAGATTCCTTGGATCTCAATTTTTAAAACTTTATTTCTTTGTATAACATGTATTTAAAAATCAACAAGAAATACATTACTCAATTTTTATTAATCAAAACAGGTCAATATTGAAATAAAATGACTGCAATAGGAGGAAAGTGCCCTTCTGGATATTTATATTTTTAAAAAGCTGTCAAACTATGCAGACAGTGACTCAGGGTGGAAGGGAGACAACTACATTTTGAAAATAATGTGCAATGCATGCAGACCACCATTAAATTTCATCATCTTGTAGTTTGTCTGTTTATAGCAACTTTTCCCAATTTTTCCACTTTTGCGTGGGCATTGGTCAATCTCATACAAAATCTGGAGCAAGGACATGACCGTCTGTTGCTCTGTCTGTAGGGAAAATTTGGAGCCGGCCAAAAAAAAAAAAAATAAATAAATAATATATATTAAAGGAACTAAATCGCTAATATTTGAGACCTAGCAATTGACACAGATGGGTCGCAATGCATATAATAATGTAATGTGAATGTATATAAACTGATTTACATTCAATCCTTTCCGTTTTTACTCTAATTTCAAATCAGTTATGTTCGGCCAAATACGCCAGAAGTCTCAATCGAATGGCAATCTTTAGCATCTGATTATTCCAGTCTACACCGATATTATTTATTGTGCATGCTCTCTAGATAAGAATATGACGTCACCTTTTGACATGACTTGTGGAATATGTCTAGTCTCGTTCTTCAAGTCCCTTGTTAAAATGGCGCTGAAACGCATTATGGTACACGATTCGTGTACCAATGGTAAAATGTTTATTTTATCTTAAATATTGGATATCAGAAGCTCATCTTTTTCCGGTAAGATCACAACATCAATGTTGATATATATTGACAAATAATTCGTGTTTTCAATATCGAAGACATCGGATGATATTGAGTTAAAGACTTAGCTACTTTAACACTGCAGTCAATATGGAAATTAATGGTGATCTACTTCCCAATCAGTTGCCAGACTGGTAATTATCTCCTTGTTGACTACAATGTTAAATCCGTGCCATTTTTGGTGTGATTTTCGATTTCCTTAATTTCATAAAAAAAAAATGTTGAAAATCTTCGAAAGAAAGACGTGAGATCTGTCACCTTCCATATTACAGGCTGTCAGATTCTGTATTCCACTGTCGACACAGTCAAAATTTAGACTAAAATTAGCATGCATGCCAATTTCCGCAAAACCTATAGAAACATCTATAGTTGCCCCATCATTAATCGCAATGACACATCAGATCACCCCACCCTCTTCCTCCAATTCAATACTTTTTTGTCTCAATCAAAGAGGTTTGTTTCCTTGAAGTTTTTGTGAATAAATATATTGTATAATAGTTCAGTATGCAATAATGACACACTGGAACCTTTGACTCGGGTGTTCAATTTACTGATCTACCTGTAATGTGTTGTTTTAGCACGTGCACGGATGATCATTTGAGGAAAAGTACGTAGGTGTTCATATAGATCATAAACCTATAAGGGTAAATCTATTTGATCTTTGGGGTATATTCTATGCCCGGAATAACTTGCGATCTGATATATACAGGGGAATTTGGGGTTATTCTTATGAAAGTTTTTCTTTAAACCTGTAACGGGTTATTCTTCCAGGATAGGTTTTTTTTCCATAAGAAAACATGATATAAAGTTTTTCTTACGGGAATTGTGGGATATTCTCATTTTGCGTACATGTATACATAGACGGTTTATAACAAGATAAAGTGCTCGACTTCGGTTATGCTGGGGAAGAAAGCCTCTCGATGTTGGTCGAGAAAATTCATCTGGATTTTCCAGGGTGATTCCCCCTTGTCATTGGTGTAGGACAGAGGGTCTGGCACGAGAGAACGTATGGTTGTTCGGATGGGACGGAAAACCGAGGTCCTGTATACACATTGGTGTGCACGTGAATTCGATGCAAGAGTAGGCCGTAGCACCGCTGTCACAGCACACTGCATGGCATATGTTCGCCTTCATTAACTCAGTCAGAGCAGAATAGTAGAATGATAAACCACATTTCATTTCATTAAAATGTAGTTATTTCACATGTTTTGTAACTGGAAGATTTCACGTGACTAGCTGTGACAGGTTAACAATAAAAGTCTACCGCACAACAACCCGTCTTGACTAGGATAATGTCTACATCTATTAGCCGCACTGTCATACTGTAGTAAAACTGTCAACGTTGTGTTATTTTAATGATATAAATATAACTTCGTTGCACGAATAATCATGATTCTCATCACACGTACTTATTCTTTGACATTTAAGTTCGACTTTAAAATAAAAACTCCAAGAAATCGTCATATATAGCTCCACTGGGAAAAAACGTAAATTTTGTACACGGAGTGTGGAAGCTGTTTAATGGCCACGTTATAACACCGAAACAAAAAGGAAAACAAAACATTAGTAAAACGCTATCCATATAAAATAAAATATACAGTAAGGGTAGCATACTGGGTTGGTTTTCGTCCTTACAATTAAAGTAATAGCCCAACCATACAATTTGTCTTTATACAGACTAATTCAATCATTGGTTATGTTTACAAACACAAAGCTGAGAAACCCTCTAGTTAAATTAAGTATTTCTCGTAAACCCCTAGCTGCAATTTGTAGCCATGATAATTCTTATCCAGGGCTGCAATTGATACACTATTGGAATCTTTGAGCAAAAAAAATTAGGCTCAATTGCAAAATTTTCAACACATATCATCACAGTTTGAATGAAAATAAGTAATTGTGTTACAAATAGTGAAGAGTGGAACACTGAAATCATATCTTACCGAACAGTTTTTCTGTATATTCGAGTGGCAATGACACCACGTGATTCTGGTTCGTCGGTCATTTTAAATTGAACAGAAAATTTGCATAGCACTTGGGTTTAATTAAATCATATACGGTAAGGTTTCGCCTATATCTCAATGGTAATTGGTTTATTATGTTAAGCTATGTACAATGCAGTTTGGGGTCAGTGTAATTGGAAATTAAGGGAGTTATAGGCCAGTAACGTTTTTGTAGTCAAATGACTACAAAACTTGCTCAAAGGAAAGCCTTACTGTGGCTGGAGCAAGACGGAAGAGAACAGTAGTGGAATCATTTCTTGTAAACCCCATGTAACATTTCTTTTTAAATAATCGTTTGAGGATGTCAAGAATAAAACTAAATCATAATTTCCTACCCTCGCACTCCCTTTGTTTTTTCTATTCTGAAAACCAGATAAATTCCATGTGGTGTCAAAAAATGAACTGTTGATGATCAATGTAAAATTCTCTCTAAAAAAAGGCTATGCAATGCAGTCTGGTAGAATTCCTTAAAAATGGAACGTTAAACCTCATTTCATTTCCATTCTTTTACCGTTATCGTTTGTTTGACGAGCCAGGGTGGGGCTAAGTGAGTAAGACGTTGACTCGCTAACCTGGAGGTCCAGTGTTCGATCCCGGCGTTGGATTTTCCGGCGACCCCCCCCACCCCCATGTCGGACGTTAAACTGCATTTCTTTTCATTTCAGTTATCTTTTGAACATTTGGTTGTATTAGTCTACCTATACCCTATAAATACCTCTGTCTCTGTAAACCAATTAGAAGTCTCGCATTACATAGTGTTCGTAAAGACAGAAGATGGCGGCCTCCGAAAAGCACAGTTCCGCCACCAATCAAGTGAATGGTATTATTATAGTGGTGACTCAACAGAAATCGAATGAATCACAGCAGGGATAAAATTAAAGTATACAAAAACATTCACAAGGAATACGAAATAGCAGAATTATAATTACTATATATTTATCAAAGTCACATACAAAACATTTTATACATTAAATTGACATAATTTAATTGACTGCAGATTTGAATAGCCTTTTAAATTGAAAGCGCTTTTTATTGTGTATGATCGGTCCTTAATTTAGTATGTTAGGGTTTTAAAGCGTTCTTAAGATGACCTTTCTATTGTTAATATAGTAAGTAAGCCAAATGAACAGTGGTAACAATTCTTGCATATTGCATATATATTTAGTGGTTTTCCCGGACTACTCTTATAGGAAAGAAAGCTTGCTGTAACTCGTTCCCTATTTTAGAAATGGTATCATTGCCGCCTCTACCATAATTCTTCAATACTGTGTGTAGGACACCTCCTGGCTGCATCATGGCGTAGAGTTTTCCACCCGGTTGGATGAGTCGGCTAAAAGACTGCGCGAAGGATTCATTATCGGCTTCCGTTGTCGATGAAGTAGCGGGTATCGAATTTGTCTCTGTCCCAGTACCAGTTCCCACTGAGGCATCAGATCTCGAAATCAGCTTCCCTGTATGTATGCCACCTCTGAAACCTCGAGCCCGAGGAGCCAGCCCCAGCGCCCCCAAAGGACCCTGAGCTGGCACTATCGTCTCGCTAGGAGAAGACCCATTTCCCGTGGCAGGGAAAACTGACACAGTAGAAACAGCAGAATCTGTTTGTGTCGTGTCATTTACTGAAAAAGGAATAAAATCAGTCGGTTGGTAAAGTTATCAATAATGTTTTGGTGAAGCCTTTTATTAAATTTCAGTCATGAGGTGTAGTTCTAGTAATGCCTGGATTTGTGTTATTATTAGTATTAGTAGTAGTAATAGCAGGATTCGTGTTGTTATTATTAGCAGTAGGTTTCGTGTTATTATTAGTAGCATTAGTAATAGTAGGATTTGTGTTATTGTTATTAGTAGTAGCAGTAATAGTAGGCTTCGTGTTATTGCTATTATTAGTAGAATTTGTCGTCGTCGTCGTAGTAGTAGTAGTAATAATAGTATCAAGAAAGAAAGTTTTCTCACCCCCAGAAAGTCCATTAGATAATGGAATTAGCATCAAAAATATCAGAGGCACCATTTTAACTCTAAAAATAAAATGGAAGAATAATAAATATAAAAATGTCGAATCTTCTTCAGAAATAAACTAATTCATCGGGATTTTTTCAGTGCAGCAGTATCATACATATTTAAGGCTATTCGTTAAAGCGAAATTCCGGTGCAATGGTAACCAGAAGCAAGATGGCTTCAAATTATTTGTTTACGTAAATGCTTTCATTATATTTTGTGTGTGTGTGTGGGTGGGGGGGGGGGTATTTAGTCAGAGTTTGAAGCCAAACCTGTGCAAGGTGCACACATTCTGCTAACGTAGATATTGTTGGCCTCTGTGGAAAATATAAATTGGGTCATTTACGACAGTGTTTTGCAGACGTCTTCATTTTCAGAGACCCTGTTGGATAACATTTTCAACCGTTTGGCTGATTTCGAAAACTTTTTGGGGGTTGAACCTACTCCATATGGCAACAATTCTTAGGCGGCCGATTTTGAATTTTGTTTACTTTTTTTCGACTTTTGACTTTCTATCTGGTGACCCAACCCTTCAATGACCCTTGACCTTTGTATTTATGATGACCCCGATATCTACTAACAATATCAAAAAGTTCAGTCTTGAAGTATAACTTCCGGTTTTATTAAGAGTTCAAAACAAAAGGTTTAACCACTTTAATAGGTACTGGATGTTACTATACTCAATTAACCATGATGCAACTTGATTGTAGACGTGACAAAACTTGATCTGGCGTGACATGACATACCGAAACACGTCAGTACTTCTTCAGAGTTTTTTTTATTGTCATTTATTTATTTCCAAATTATGAGGACTGGTATGCAACAAAGCCCCACTCGGAAATCCTCTGTCATCTTCGTTACCCGTAACCCGTGATATTAATAAGTTCACTTCCAAATTTCTTGTTGGATGTTTGATATATATTTGTTATTTTAATTCATATAAAAATCATATAAACAAAAAATAAAATCCCAATTGATGATTGGTATACATGTTGTACAACTTCATAAAAACATCATTTTTAAATTATAAAAATCAAATTCATTTAATGTGTGTATATATAAGGTGCTATTTTTCTTTTATGAACAAGGCGTTTACCAAACTTTAATATGTTGATTGCTATTAATGTTGGTAAAAATTTTTTGACAGATTGGATTATCATTTATTACAAGTCGTGATTCATTCATGTCCCTTAACCTCCTCCATTTACCCTTTTGGTACTTTTGATATTATTTTTTTTTCTCTAAAACGATGCACATATACTGATATATTTGTAATATAGACTATATTGCAGTGTGCAAGTGCTGGTACAGACCAGACGACCCCCCAAAAAAACATGACCCAAGGTCTGACCACACATTTGCTGTAGAATACATGGACGGTGACCTTTTAATTAGTATTAATCAAATTAGGTGAGTAAGAACGGCTTTGAGGTGAAAAAGGTGAACCACTCATGCTTCTGTCCAGCAAACGAATGAAATGAAAAAGGGGTTTAACGGCCTACTTTTCTGCATGGACTCTCAGCCAACGAAGGAAACAAGACTGGACAACACTATTTTAAGAAATAGTTTACTTTTTATATAGGTCTAATAATTTACCCGGTTGAAATGGAATACAGAGATACGCTCGTACATTATGTATTAATTGGCCGACTAAATTTCTGTAGAGAGAAAGACAGCAAAAAATATTAGGGGTTGTTTATACCCAGAACATGTTTTAAAATAATATTTAAAGAAGCTAAATCTCTAACTTAATATTTTCCATGATATTGGAAATTAAAAAATACGAATTAGAATTCAATGTTGGTCAACATACTTTAACTCGACATCGATTAGTATATATGGTTGTGTCGCTAAATGAATAAAGCGCTGACTTACTAAGAAAGATCCCTGGGACTTTCCTGCGTTTTGACACGTTGGCGCGCACGTAAGGATTTCTTGACAGTTGGAATTCGAGGAAGAGTAGACCGAAACGCATCTGTCCGGGCAAAAGTTCCGTCTAAGCACTCTGAATTACGCATGCATGTCTTTATTATCCCTGTTGGTGCAGAAAAGTATTGAGAATTTTTCAATTATTTATTTGGCCCTATAAGCTTCTGTAGAATATAGTGTCGGATCGTCCGATGTGTAGTTTATACGAGGGATTTTGTTATCCGTTTTTATTTTTTGCATAGAATGGACCGCAGAAGCAGAAGCAAATTTTCAGTTAGATTTCCCATAATGATTCGCATCTCAACTATTGACGGGACCTACCGATTCAAGCTAGTGAAAAGAGACTAGTTCCGTAGCAACGCCTTGAAATGGCGGCGTAGGCACGTCTTCTGTCGATGATACACAATCAACCGACGGCAAAATATTGACCATATCTGGGCGGTAAGTCCCGCCACTGTGCAATAGGTACACTCATTGCCGTGCTTTATTAAAACAAAACCCTATAAGGTGCATACTTAAGTACACTATAATAAAGTTACTTACCTGTAATGTGAGGCTTATACCAGATATACGACAGACTGTTGGTTGACTGTCAGGTCTTTATTACCTATGTAATTTAACTGACAAAACCTCTTATAAATAATAGACTGAACATTTTATTACTACTATATGACATGATAAACACATCATAATATATTTTCTGTATTAAAGGAGAAGTCTGAAATATATTTTAGTGAATAAAATTGGGGAATTATGTGTGAAAGACTGGTTTAATGTTAAGCCAATTTACGTCAAGTTCTGCACTACGTGTCAGAGAGAGAGAGAGAGAGAGAAGGGAGAGAGAGAGAGAGAGAGAGAGGGGTAATGTCCACTAGACATAAACTAGGTCATTTCGGGACTAACATATGGTTCAATTTATATTTCAACGATTCGCTTTAGTAGTGGGAGGAAACCGGAGGACCCGGAGAAAACCTACAAGGTTTTACAGGCGACCCTACTCCCTGTCACCCTACTCGAAACAACGCCACTTGATTCAGTGACAGACCTTATGATTTCACGCACACGCGTTAAACCACTAGAATATCCCCTCCCTACACGCAGTCAAAAGAAATGCAAACTGTCAGTTTTATTTTGATTGGCAATAAGTCTCCTGCCTAACACCCGCAATAGTTGAACGATGAAATGATTATACCACTTTCCTTAATTAAAGGCGCTATTGTGCCTTTTGGGTTATTACAGTTGTCTAAGGGACCCCGACCAAATGCGGCGCAACCAGGTAATGCCTACATGCTGTAGTGCGGTTGTGGCCTTTATCAGATCACACATTACTGGTAAAAAGTAGGTCGTAATCCTTTCTTTGAATAATGTAAAAGCGTGAATCAATTTTGACGATATTAGAGAGCGAAAACGAATACGTCATCACTTGGTCCGACTTGGATACCACCCGAGATAATCGTATGTGCAAAACGAATATGGTTTTCTTCTATTTTCTCACACTTTTGCCCTAAAATCACTTAGAAAATGCATTAGTTTAAATCTTGTGCCAAGGGTGTAGGTGTACGACGAAGTGCCCCCCCCCCCCCCAGCTCACCCCGTTTATGTTTAAATTTTATACAACATCCTTTCATCCGACCCAAGAAACCAACCCTTACATATTAGGGCGGTGTATGGACCTCAACACCCTATTACACAGCTAATGAATTATATTTCAGCATGTGATTGTGACAGACCTGTCAATAAACGCAATGAAAGTTAAAGGTACAGCGAATTTCTACCTATTTATATACAGGGCGACGACCCCCCTCCACCCCCACCCCCCCCCCCACCCCGTACAAAGGTCCGGCAAATTTTAAATGGCTACAAAGGTCCAGGAAATGTGTTCGAGTAGCCTAATTGACAATTTTTCGCAACTTATGCTAGTTTGCCTTCAATGCCGCGGAGGCCACTTGGAGTATATTTTGGAAAGAACATGACTTTTATGCAAAGCCACCAAGATAACTAAAACTTTGGGAAAACTCATCAAATTTCATCAAAGTTAATAAAAACTTTTGATGGGTTCTGTGTTTTTGGGTCAACCTGTACAATACGAACATTACAGTACACTGACATGTTATTATTATACATGCGACCTTAGGACAAATTGCTGTCGTACTGACCCATTGAATCGTTTCTTATCAAACTAGAATTAGATACAGACGTATTCAGTTTCTAATGAAGAATTAACATTTTATTTCAACACTCCGAGATTTCATTGATTAGTTGTCTTTATTCAGTATTTCCAAGACCTTCAAATGTTAACTAAATCGACGTTTATCAAGAAGTTAAAAGATGTTTCATGTGTTTAGTTTGTTTTTTGTTCTTTTAGGATGTCTTATGTTGGCTGTTGGGCAGTCTACACAATCTGCAAATGTAAGTTGTTATATTATGTTGTATACGTGTTAATGTTTTGAATTGTATTATGTCCCCAGAGGTTCGAAGCCTGATTCAAACCACAGGAGTTTGCGATTGGTCCTTAGAGTTTATTTGAAACCAAGAAGATACATTCGTCAATAATCACGGTGTCGTCTAGGGTTTCTCAAATTTTCAGCCATCTTTGCTTTGCGATGCACTAGATCGATTTTCTAAATAGTCTAAATCGGGAGAGAAATTTTAGGAAAGTGCTCAGATTGTGTCGAAAAAGTACCACGATTTTCTAAATAGTCTAAATCGGGAGATGAAGTTTAGGAACGTGCTCAAATTGTTGGAAATGTGTCGAAAAAGTACCACGAGATTGTCAAGCGCGACGTCCTCTTGTCAGTGCTGCAGGACGGATGGCACTGGGTCCCTGTACACCTTGGGGCGCACGTAAAATAACCCTTAACAGCTATAATTCGAAATAAGAGTATACTGAATGGCGTATGGCTGTCGCCATTATCCCGGTTGGAACCGAAATATCGTAATAACCTAATTTTGTTATGCTGTCAACTTTTATGACGTACTGAAAATCCAAGATAACAAGCAATTTGGCTACCAATATATGGAAGAGTGTCAAAAACATACCACAATACATTACTCATTTTTAAACCTAACAACGATGAAGATAGCCAATGCAATGAGGTTTAACGTCTTGCGTTCCTGCACCAACCGGCCATACCGATGCAGTGTACTATGAGTTAAATTTTCGCCTGAATGCTGTGAGCCAACACCGGGATCGAACCCGGGATCTCCTGGTTAGTGAGCCAGCGCAATACTCATCGAGCCACCGTGGCTCCAAATGGCTTTAAAAGTATCTTACTTAATTGTGTTGTTTTTTGTTTTTTTGGTGAACGAAGAGAAGTCTAGATGATGTAGAAGAACTTGTTAAACCACTACGTGTCCAAGTTGATGTACGTGACGATAATATCAGCCGACTATATAGGGCGGATTATATTTATGCTGCAACACAACTACAGATTATCTGGTATCAGGATGGACGTCTTAAAAAAGGTCAGTTGTCACGAAGTTATTCACGATCGCCTACAGTTCATAAATAATTAGATGTACATGCGTATTGGAGTATCATTGCCAAATACCAAGCCCTCATATTACCCTTCGAAATGTTTCCCTGATTTGCACAATCTGGATTATTTTTTATGTTTGAAAACAAAGAGTAAGTCAAGGGTCTGACTATTGTTAAACCCGTTTTCATTATATCTTCTTCTAATTTAAAACTCCGAAATTGTTGACTGGAACCAATGACCCACCCTCCCCGCCACCAAAGGTTTTAAAGCTACATCATTAATTAGACCAAGAATCATAAATATTTATCAATTCAGTTGCTAAATGCTGCTCCCCTCGTTTTTCAGAAGAATCAAAAGCAAAAAGATTGGAATTAACCAATGGTACAACAAATTTCATTACGAACTCATCACAGATTAAATTAGAATTCGTAACAGGGACTTTTATCAGTACTCTGATATTCCGTCAAGATCTGGAACCAGGAATAGTTCATGAAATAGGTGAATTTACATTGGAGCTGATGCCATCACGAGCTTTGAAATATAACTATGGAAGCGCAGCTCCGGGAAAGATTAGACTTCCGTTGGAAGATCCAGAGGGGTTTGAACGAGAAATCATCTGGTCAATCTACACAGCGTACTACTTCATTAATCCACCTACTATCCGAGAATATTATCAATGGCGAATGAAACGCTCCAAAAATCCACCCCTGCGATTCATAGATTCTCAAATAGTGGGGAATTTTACAGAACAGTTGTATATTTTGTCCTCCCATAATCAGGACCTGGAAGGTCTTGTTACATGGTCAGTTACCCTTAGCAACATCAATTCTACGTCACCACTAGATTATAGGCTGTTTCAAAAAACTATTCCCGTGTATGAAGCGCCCTATGACCAACCATTTCCAGAAACATTGTTAGGGTTCATTAAGAAGGAACATACATTGTTAACAGAATGCCCTGGACATTCCGATTGTGAAATAATCTGCGAGGTGGTTGGTTTTGAACCTATCGACGTTTTTCTGTACAAAGTGGACAATGGTACAAAGGAGCCAACAAACTTTATACAAACAAAACGACGCCAGCGTCATCATTTGCGACAGCATTTTTACATTGAAAACATGACGAAATCTCTAGAAGGAAAATATATTTGTCAAGCTTTGAACAGTGCAGGGTTTACCAGAGAACTGGCATTTCAGTTGTTCGCTAAACAGAAAGTGACTATAATACACAGTGAATCAAGTTTTGTTCAGATAATGAACACAGAGAAGAATGGGGTAAGTACACGAACAGGTTATGCCCGGTATTTATGACATATAGAATCGTTGAGATGGCTAGATATAAGATCCACAGGACAGTATGCCAGCTTTCCACCAAAAGGATGCAAGTTACTCTATTTATAATTGATTCAAAGATAGGGGGCGAAGTGACCAGTCCTTTAAAATCAATTCGATGGTCCTTTTTATACAACTACTGTACCTAAACCACAGAGTAACAAGCTCTATAGAATTAAATTTTAAGCCGTAGTGGTATATTTACTTACTTTAGTTTGGGTTTGAACACAACTTGGACCTCGATGCAGTTAATTGGTTGCCATTGTTTTTGTCCTCGAAGCAGGTTCTGTATTATCTTCTCAAGTATCCGATGACACGTCTCCTTTATTTGAGAAGTGCACATTTTGACATCACATTTCTCTTTACTTTTAAATCTATTTGCAGTTTATGATTCGATGTTCAGCTTCAGGTCATCCAAAACCAACCCTGTCGTTCAGAGAGAATAATTTAAGGAGCAGAATGATCAAGAATAACACCGAATATGAGATTATCCAGAGAGAATCTGAAAATGGGATCCAACATATTGTGTTGACTATACATGATCTACGATACGATGTTTTTGCATACGTCTGCGTGGCCAAAAATCGATTTGATTCAGACTCGATATATTTTTATCCTTAAAATTTTGACATAAAGCAACCGGCGTTATGTTGGAAGCAGTGCATATATTTGTATATTTTTGGTCTGACGAAAATAAATCCGAAATATCAGATTCGAATATTTTCAGGGATATGGGGATCGTTTGAAACAAAATAAAGTTATTATTAAGTTAATTTTGAATCCTTAAATAAAATCCCAAAAATCTCCATAACATGCAATTCATTCGCAATGTAGTTACTCGTTTCTTGGCACATAAAACTTGAATGAAACCGCATCAGTTGCGTAGTATATATTTCGCTGCCCGTTATCACATGGTATCTAATCCTATGGCAATTATTGATAAGTCAAGAATATATTAATCTTTGTTTCCTTTATGCAATTTCTTCTTATTCTTAAAATCAGCATGAATTTATTTGCAAGTTGTTGTAGGATTACCTTTGGACTTGATAACATCTACAGATTTTGTAATTGTTTTAAATATATCGAATTAATAATAGTAATTATACATAAAACACTATACAGTATCCAATGGACCTAAGTATATCTTATAATAATAAGTAAAAAAGAAAAAGTAAATTATGTAAATATATATATAAATAAGAAATACAAAATGAAATCAAAGATTTGCGCTAATAATAAACAGTTGGGTTGTTGAAAGATCTGTAACAGAGCGCTTCTATAGGCATATGGCAAGGTCCTAAACTTTGGGAAACTTTTCCTCCTGATTGTTTAAGTTTTATAGGCACATATTGCATAATTAGCTAACAACATTAATTGTTACAAGCTGCAGATGCACGTTAACTAGTAACCGCGCTCACTCCACGAATTGTGTTAAATTAAGTGTGTCCTTTATAATGGCCAAATATTTGTATTATTTAGAATGTACTTCACTAAGCTATCTCGCTGAATATCATGTTTTAGTTTTCTCGTTAGTTTGAATAAAGTGTCCAACGAATGATATTTTTAAGGAAACGGGAACCGGATAACAGATGATGGAATTAGATTAGTATTGTACTAATTAACCCCACACTTGTTGTTTAAACTGTCACAAGCTGCAGCTTGTTTAGCTTATGTCTATTTCTGACATGTAATACCCCTTTATTTTATTAATTCAAATAGGCGGGGATCACAAAAAACAGCGAGAACGAATCCAAACTGCATGGATAACAAGACATATACCACTAAATAACTTACATCATAACATAACTCTAATCAAATCTACGGATCCAACAAATCCACATCATATTAACAAGAGAAATTTGAATAAAAAGGCGAAAGCGCTGTTGAAAACACAGTTCTAGAAAATGTAAGTTGTGCTGGTTGAGGTTTTACTCGGTATTTTATTGACTCGGTTGTTTGTGCACGAGACTCAATTGGAACTGTACCATATTGATCTTGGTTCCCTGTTTCATGTGGAACCTATATTTATAGAAGTCAAGAATTGATTCATCATGCTGCCTCACTTTTTTATTTACTATCTTTATAGAACATTCTAGTAACTAAACTGCATTACCAAAAGTGGTCATCTGGACTTAGACTGGTACTTGCTTCCCCTGATCTCATGATGGCGAATGTAGCACCTCTGCGCATAGCCTTTCTCACTTTCTTCCCCCACCCACGCTGTGTTTAGTTTTTTTTTATCTAGAATCGAGGAAGAGTGTCTGAATTTTTATGTTCTGTCCAGTTTTGGTGAATATTCATAAATGAAATAATTATGGTAATCGCTTACACGAAAATGACGTCACTGCCTATAGATTCCTTCGACCGGGATTAGCAAAGAATCGAAACGATAAACCCCTTTCTTTATTTTTTATCAGATGATTGAGACGTGTTCATAAGACTTACTAGTCTGGGATCACGTAGCCAAATCGGACAACGGTCATAGCTAATTCCGTATACAGTAATAATATTCAAATGTCACATACTGGGAGGCAGTAACAAGATATAGATAATGATTATTATCAGTGTATCAGTGTCCTCCCGGTAATTTAAAACATCTAATTTGATCATATCATATTATTTTAATCTCCCTGACCTTCAACGCCTGGGGTTTGTTTTTTTAATAAAAAAAAGTTTGACTGAACTTTTTGGGTCTCATTTAGAGTGAGACTGAATAATTATGCCTTGTCTAAGTGTTTAAAGTTGTATGGTATTTCTTGTGAATCAAGTGGATGATTGGTCTTTTGGGTGTTTAATAAATAAGCTATAGGGGTAACTGGGGCTTTTAAATTCGAAAACTTAAAGGGACAATAACACTCTTGCTGGCTTGACAGTTCCAGAAAATAAAAAATAGCCTTATTCTAAATACTAGATGTTTTAGTGTCCTACCTGTTGTGTAAATTATCCATTAAATCCTATTTTACTTGTCCAGAGGGTTCAAAAATATTTTTAAATCCAAGTCGCATTTGAAAAGCTTTACGTCAGGCTTTTCAAATCATTTAGTTGGATTTTTCCAATTTTTTTAAATTGGGTGTGTTAAGATGAAATTTGTATCATCAATTAATTGGAATATTGTAAAAAAGTGCAATTTGTTGACCAGAATAAAGATTGGGACATATTATTCAGTTAGAACAAGAGTGGTATTGAGCCTTTAAAAATTGGTGCTAATAGCGTTTGACAGATATTTTTAAAGGGTATCACACAGCTGAAATAGTGTAAAACGGTATCATTTTCTTTCTGATTATACTTCGTCTTAATTATCTTATTTAACTCCGACATTGTGAACATGGGTTGTAGTTGGTGGTTAAAACTATTTCGAAGTGACATAAATTTTCAATGTTCATGAAAAACACAAATCAGCCTTTAAGTCTGCGAATTTTCAACCAATATCATTTTGAAATTATTGCATTATTAGAGAGCTGGAGGTAAAATTCTAAATCGTCGCTCACATTTTTGGGGTGTGTCTGTGTGTGTGTGTGGAGGGGGTGGGGGTGAATTCAGATGGTAAAATATGTATAAAGCTGCGGATAGTGTAAACAAGAAGAAAATAAAATGTTTATGAACGACCCTATGATGATACTACAAGAACCCGCGGAAGCTTAAGTGATTTTGAATTTTTGTCTTTATTTTTTCTCGCCTTGGTTTTTTAAAACAAGTCTTATGTGATCTCCGGGTGCATCTTAAAGGATCGAAAATGGAAAAACAATTAGCTAAAGTTTGAAAGAGAGCTTCTTAGTTCATTGTTATCGACCGAATCCAACCATTACAAATTGGTCATTTTATACTGCGGTAAGACGTATTATATCTGGAAAAACGTCCCAAAGAATGTTCTGAAACATTAAATAAGTTAGGATTAAAGTATTTTGTAACGTAAATGTATGCTGGAATTTTTTTTAAATTTTTTGACCGATTGTGAATATTAATTGATGTTTTCAGAACAATTTTCGTAAAGGATACATGTTAGTGCATATTTTCTGGAAAAAATAATTTAACCGGTGGATTTTCAAAAAAATGTTAGCATAATATTATGTATAAATAAAGATGTCGTTCTAGAACAAAACGTACAAATTATAAAATGACTAGGGGATATAAAAGTTGAGAAAAGGTAGAGAAAGATTATCGAGATAGTGGAAGTAATTGGTGGTCTGGAATTATGCATATGCGTGGGTTAGTGCCTAATTTAAAGCAAACAGCCGAGTAATTCAATTTGAAAAAAAACGTTAAATATCCATGTCATGACCTCTATCTCGTTTTTCATATAAACTGCGTAGTTTCCACAGTTTGAGTCGGATATCCCCAATTTTCTATAATTAGATTATAACGCGATAACATCAATACATGCTGTATATATATGCTTGCATATTCCATTAATAATTTGTATTCAAATACAACAGTTCAGAATGGCTGTCATCTTGAGCAAAGGTATTTTGGTATTTACTCTGATGGCGATATCGCTGACAGTTTCACATCAGGTTAGTAATTTTATGTTAAATATTCATTGTTGTAAGTGATGGGTGTTCTTACTCTTCCAGAACACCTGATACCACGTTTTTATTTTGGGACTTTTCAATTTTTTTGTAAGGATTATTTTATCCGATTAAACATTCCATACTTAGAGGCGAGAGTAGTCTACGAGTGTAATACGCTTACTCTTCTAGAACAATTGGTGCTCATTCTGGTTTATTTAGTATCAAAATACAGAATAGTAATTGTCTATCTTTAAAGTCATAGACACTAGAACATTTGGGATAAAAACTAATTTAAACAAATGTATTCTGTATATTCTAGACTGTGGTACAATATACAACAGATTTTACAGATGTGAAAGTCTTTACAGCCGATCAAACTGAGGTGAGTATGGAATACAGTGTATGATTTACAATCTTCATGATGATTTTGAAACGTTAATTAAAATTATAGCAGCACCTCGTTCCGTTTTATTGAGGGACATGAGCGTTTTAGAGATATTCGTGTAAAACGTTGCTAAAAAGGCCAATGCATGCATTTTCGATGATTAGATCAATATAAAAAAAATTAATAATATTTGAAAATATCTTAAAGTGATAATACTATTTTTCATATTACGTCATGGTTTTTGTTGATTTGTCTGTATTGTAAGGAAAGATACTTTTTGTGCGACAAGAACGTTTCCTTCCACAGGATCATCAGGTTAAGGTACCACAAGTTATGCATATTTGGCAGTGAATTATGCAAACGTTGCTGGACTTAGAATCGAACCTCCGTAATTGTTGCAAAAAGCAGCGGCGCTACGGTCCACTCTTATTTCGAAGTCCAATTGCCATGGGTTCTTTTTCATACACGCTAACGTGTACAGGTGACCTGGTTGTTTTGTCCCACCCGAACGACTAGACACTCCTCCTTGCCAGTCCTTCCGTCCAGCATTTCTGACTAGAGGAAACCACACTGGAAATCCTGAGCTGTTCTCGGGAAACACCGGGATCGAAACCCGAACGCCCTCTTTAGTGCGCCAGTACCTTATACGCCAAGTCACCGGGATCCCTGTAGCCTTTCGGCTGAGTTGAAGATTATGTGACGTTACTTTATCTGTTTTAGATTAGCCTGGATGTTCAAGTAAACTATAGACAAAATCAATGGGAAGATATAATTGTTGATCCACGTGAAAACCCCAACCTCTACCAACAGATAGTCAACTTTACAGTTATAAATGCACTGAAGGTAACCACTTTACTCACGACAGTTGCATATTTAGGTGTATGAGAATGAGCGTTGCCCCATTCGTTCTTCGATTGATTATACCAGGAACGCCAAATTCGGTCTCTTAGGCGGCATTCAAAATATTGAAACTCTCATTATGGTAACAGATAGGGCTGTTTTACTATAAAAGATCCTGAATTATATGGTTGCCAATACCTTTTTCGCCGTATCTTGTAAAATTTGTTAATTATAAAAAGTGTTTACGAAACTATAGAAACTACGACCGGCCTGAAGAATATCAAAAATATGGTAGTACATTTTAAAGTATTAGTGGAAATAGAGCAACATTTAGATTCAAACTGCAATATTCAATTAAGATAAGTGATATAAATGTAAATAAAAGGTTACATGTATTGTAAGCGCATCAGCACAAACATTAGAACTGTGTCATGAATTCCGCTCCATAATTGCAGACCACACGTTTGAATATTATGCCGACTTCAGGAAAATTGGTAACATTGTATGTATATGATGATTTATTTCTCAATCTACAGGGTACCGGCGGATTATTTCAATTGATAGATTATTATCAACAAAGAGATGTCGTAGAAGCATCCTTTAGGGATGCCATAGATTTGAGATTTACAGGGGTGTGTTGCGGTATTGGATGTATCAACAAAAACGGAGGTTCGTTGGTTATCTCACATTAACTGTAATACAGCCGAGGTCCATCCCAGCACATTCTGGAATGGACGTACAATAAAGGTGGAACTCATAGCTAGAAACTCCGTTTTCCCTCCAACGTTCTTCCATAACGATACGCATGACGATAGCAAATAAAATTTAACGTAGAATAATCTTAAAAATGACCGAATATTGTGTTGAAGCGAAGTTAAACTCATTTGAAAAGTTCGCGTAGCCAACAGTACTTTGTATTATTAAGCATATAGGGCACACTGATCATAATGTCTATCAACGGTGGCGTAAGTCTACCCTGATGGGTTTTATCGGGGCTCTCCAGTTTCGTCCAATTTCTAAAGTATTGGAGTAAACCCCATTTGTCATTCTCTGTAGGATTAGAGGTAGACTGTGCTTAAACTTAATCGATGCCCATTTAAGTGATGCATAATAAATAATACACGTAAAAGTACGAAGTGCAAATATCAATTATTCATTTATTTATGTCTCTCTAATTATTTCAGATTGTAGACAAGGCTGTAAACCTAGAGATACCTGTACGACTTTTGACAAGGGTATTTATACCATACTGGACAAGTTTATTCTCGTGGATGTTCACGTTCCTGATTTCATCAGACATAGAATAGAACAGCTTCTAGAAACAGAAATTATTGCATCTACAGAATAGTGGTATTGAACATAGATGGCATAATTTCATACAATGCTACTCCCTGATGTATGGGTGTCATTTTTTTTTCTTATGTCTGCTGCTTGATGAGTGACCTGACAAATAAATAAATGCAATCTGAATCTTAGTTATCTCCTGGGTTTTTTTAACGCAAATCTTTTGCTTGGTGGAAACAGCCAATGCGCATTTTGAAATCTCTACGGGTAATTAAACCGCTTAAAATGTGTCACGTGTGCAGTACACGTATAAACACATGTAGGTGTTAGGACAACAATCACAAAATAATTTCGTTTTTAGATTATAGTTTGTCTGCTGTGTTCAGAATAGCTTTGGTGGTGCTTTCCCACAAAACAAAATCGTTATATCTACCCCGGCCCCACCCCACCCCACCGCCACATTCTATATCGATATTTCCGAGGAGGATCATGGCAGAATTTATTACGGATGTGGCGAAAATATATGAATATCAACAAAGAATCGATGTTAACCGAATGGTGGCGAGCGTGTTGGGTTATTCTAACCGTCTAAAAAAAAGTATCTTCTCGACACAGGAGCTAGAATACAACTATTGGAAACCTGTGGTGCAGCCCATGTTTTCATGACTTTGTAACGAGACCAACCAAGAGGTCCCATATGCGACCTCAATGTTCGCCGAGAAAATTTCTCGACATTTTCCTGTTTGGCAACTCCTTATCATATCAGTAATGTAGGATGGAGGGACTGACAGGAAAATGCGTTTCGTTATTCAGTGGGAACGAATTGGCGTGCGCATTGCCAGTTGGATTTCCCCACAGGTAAGATTTAAACCCTATTCCATGTGTATTAACTAAACGATATTGGTGGTACAGTATAAATAACATATTTTATTAATGAATTAGTCTTCGAGCTATGATTATTTCAATACTCAGTACAAACAAACACACAACGAAACACACAATAATGAAAATAAATATACTGTAAATATCCGACAGGTGTAGTTGTTTCACACGTAATGGCGCATTACAAAAATCCTTCCGTCTCTCCGGCCACCATTTCCTTTGCCATTTTTCAATAAGTCCAGTCTGTTGTAACTCATTCATACTGTAATATAAAGCCACGCATTCGTATAATGCCACGGGTTGGTGCTGTGCACGGGATAGGGCGGAATTTCTCAAAAATATTATATGCCAAATGCCGAAAATTATTTCGACCAAAGCATTATTCAGAATGTCCACTGAACTTTTCAAAATCACTATATAACAGTATGTGTACCAGCAGCAATTAAAACACGTGGCAAGGTTTTATTAAACAAGTAGGGAGCATAGTTAAAACTTTAGACTTAAATGTAGATTTATCTGAAGAAATGCATTTTTTTTCTGTGGAGTTTATGACATCGGCAAAGATGATTGGGGCTTTAACCTAAATTTTGCAGTTTGTCACGTGTGGACGGACTGAATGGCTGGTAATATGGGAGGATCTGTATAGTCAACCGAACATTCCTGAATGGAATACTCACAATAATTATAGCAATAACAGTCGAATAAGCAGGAGAATAAATAGAAACCTGTTTCCTCCAATCATCAGAACTAAAACGTCTTATGTTTCATTTAATTTAAACATACATTATGCGAGAGCTACATGTATTATAGCAAGAACAGAAAGCTCTTTATCGAAATCTTGCATAATGTATCTTTAACACTTACGTTGTTTCCAGCTCATGTTTCAAAGGTGATTTCATCGGAACCCCAAAGGCGTAAAAAAGGTCATATATTGCAACAGTTTGTAATCTGATAACGTCACAGTTATTGGCATATATAAAGCTGGTACATGAAACGCCTGCGAAATAAACGTAATTTCCTGCAAGCAGATGAGATATATGTACGTCATCGTTATACAGATTATAGGCCGCCATCTCTGGATGTAACTGTATATTTGCGTTCAATCTCTCTTGCAGTCTTTTGTAATCAGGAATAGAATGGTTCTGAAAAAAATCAAATCTACAGTTAAACCTGGTACAGTTGTCACATATAATAACCACCTGCTCACAGTGGTCACATCCAATCGCCACCAAGTTGATCCCCCTCAAACTAAAAAAAAAAAAACCTCCCCGGGCTTATAATTATGATACGTGACAAACCACTTAAGAAGTTTTTTTATAAGGAGGTTATATACTTTATTTTATATTTTTAGCATGTAGTTATTATTTTTCTATGGTAGTGGCTGTATTATCAAGTCCAACATGCACATTGGCTTTACCTTTAATTGGTCTAACAGGGTGGTGTTTGCCATAATTCCCAACCGGTAATCACTGTCTAAAATATCTCCTAAACTGTTAAACACAACAACTGGATTTGTGCGTGTAAAGAACGCTACTAGATTGCCTTTGTACACAGATCCCATAATAATACAGAAAATCCAAAATGAAGCCAAAGATAGCCGACCTGTTAATGAATCTATCTTTAGCATACCACCTAGAAAGGAAATAAATATATATTTCAATAAAAAGTAAACGGACGGGTTAACAGACAATGGAACATGCATCTATCAACAGCTAAGCTATAAACAAGTTTGTAAATCTATGTTTATTGTTTCGGATTTTTTTTTTCGAATTTGATTGGAACAAGATATTTTAAAGGTTGCGTTTAATTGATAGTACGGTGGTTTAAAGCTCGCTTGCACGGTAATGACATCGTAAACAGAAACTAGGAACAGTTAAGAATTGCTCGTCTAATACGATTTTGTAATCTTTACATTGCTTTGGATTGGACCGTCCTGAATTTTTATAAAACCAGAGAAGGGACTCTTTGGTTTGGGGAAGTGGTTGAACGCGTGCGCGTGAATTCAAAAATGATGTCATTGTCGAGTTAAGAAGTATGGACGCCTGTCTGAGTTTAACCTCTTGGGTTTTCTCTCTCTTCACTCCTCACCAATTCATTTACCGACTAATTTATTCTTACTGGCCCCGTACCTCTACTGGTTTTGTGTTGCTTTAGTCCTACCATGTCCCACCACGTACACTAATTTTTCATTTTTCGCTTTATTCCTCGCATCCCCCCGGCCCCATTTTGTTTCTTTTATCCCTTATCTTTTAAAGTGGCATACTTTACCTTGATGTACAATGATGCCAACAATATGAAATATTTGTTCTTTAAGCGATGCTATTTGTTTTCCTCTGTTACATGGATTGATTCTCTCTAATGTCCTTAGAAAACAACAGAAGTAGATGAAGCATAGCAGAATCCCAACTAACACTACAATCTGAAAAGGTTTGGTGTAAAGCAGGAAAGATGATGAAACTGGTCTTTTCCAGTATGTGGGGATAACCTTGTCAGTAAAATAAGCAGGAAAAACATAATCCACGTGTTTCATCTTTTCTTCACTCACAGCGGATGGGTAAGCCTTTATATCATATTCCTGTACAAAAACAACAAAGATAATATTGCATATCTACAGTACGACTTTGTCCACTCTAGGAAGTTGAACTCGTAGAAATTGTGATTTTATCTACCAATGTTTCCCACGTGGTCGACTACAGATGTGATGTCATTTCGATCAGCAGACTTTATGATATAAATAGATAAATATTTAGGGTCATAAACCTCAGTGATTCGCTTGCAAAATATTAAACAATCCACCAAATAATTATAGGGATGGTGGTAGAATTTCATTTTCCAATTTATATACATATTTTCGGTGAATCCTAACGGCAAGAAACATTTATGCTGTCAGCTCTTTAAGCTCCATCGCTGACAAGTGAGAACCAGGATTAAAGAATCCAGGAGGCTTCTCCTCGGATTGCACCGGGATTCAAATCTATTTATTTTCTTATTTTTCTCTATTTCTAAATTAACAGCTTACAACCGAAGACAACATATCGTACATTTAATGATATATTATTACCATCAGCGCTCACGCTGTCGATCGCCATTGCCGCCAATTGCGATAAAAATATAATTTTGGCGATAAAATATTCAATCTGGAGAAATTTTTGGCGATAACTTTTTCCTGTATGGCGATTCTTTTTTAACCATGGCGATAAATTTGTCCATCACTAGACAGATTCTAGTCAGAATATTGGGATTTCTAACCCCCCTCTTCTTCGGATTCAAAGTGTCAAAGGATTCCACTGTGTGCACACTGTGTGCACGTTAATATGATCTCATTCCGCCCTGGTAATGGAGTCCGACCTCGCCAATTTAAATACATACAGAAAATAAATCTCTGGCAACATAATACGCTCATAACACTTGATTAATTGATGAGTGACATTCTCACTCAAGTGCTATTTATATTTACATTGCACATAGAATGTTTCTGAATAATCTATATTTCATTTCAATATACTTACACCATTTACTACTTTATAAAACATACTTGTGTTTGTTCCCTTGACATAGCCAGTCCAGGAAATCTCTGGATCGTTGTAAAACGAATATCTAAACAAAGCGAATAAAATATTTGATGCAAAAAGAAACACATGAACAGCAAATCAAACAGTGATACCAAAACATCAGATCTCGGAAAATATCAACCGTGGACATAGTGAAAATTGTTGATATCATTTTTTTCTCCTCAAGTTTCATGTTACCAGATACGACGACATCGACAAATATATTTGTTATATAAATAACACAAACAGTCGTTGTCAACCGGTAGTTCAGAAAAAAATTTAAACAGGTCAACAAACACTGTGACTATTTAAACTTAAAGGACAATATTGGTGTCAGTCATTATAAAATATGTGATAGAGCTCGTTAAATACATCACAAATATAATTTTAACACAGAGATCATTGCTACGGGAAATGTGTAACAAGCACATGAAGAAACGGGAAGTGACGTCAAACATGACAAACACGAGTTGTCCTTCTATATAACAGACTGAAGTAACGAGCGGTAACAGACAAACGATCGAATTTCATTTCACTGATAATTCAGTTGAAGGTGAAAAGTTGTTATATGAGACGATGAGAGGATATCTGACAATTCAAAAAAAAGAATAACGATCAAATTAGAAAAAGTCCGTGCATTACCATGTTTTTATTAAAAACAGAATGAATAAAAACCGGGAATATACGGGATTTTTCTATTTTTTCTCGTGTCCATTATCTAGTGACAGCCAATTCTATTTTTGAATTGTGAGATACCCTTTCACCGTCCCATATAATAACTTTTCAACTTCAACGGAATGTATTTAACCAGTTCTATCACATATGTAATAATAACGGACACCCTGTTATGAATAATCAGCAAGATTGTTTTATTTTTTTTACCGGATTATCAAAATTACCGTTACATATCTAGTGACAGCCAATTCTATTTTTGAATTGTGAGATACCCTTTCACTGTCCCATATAATAACTTTTCAACTTCAACGGAATGTATTTAACCAGTTCTATCACATATGTAATAATAACGGACACCCTGTTATGAATAATCAGCAAGATTGTTTTTTTTATTTTACCGGATTATCAAAATTACCGTTACATATGTGCTAATTACTTGGATTATGAACCTATGGCTGATTCCCACTAAGGTATGACGGTTATTTTAGTCGACAGGCAAGTTGATTGACTGCTTAATAAACAAGTAATAATTAACTCGTTTTAATTTAGCCAAAAGTAGATTGATTTATAATACCAAAACGGCCGGTTCATCGTCTTACCAATCGGGTAGACTGAACTTTAAGCGGCTAAAACCGACTAAAACAACCGATTAAGATGCCAGAGATACTGAAACTTAATATAAAAAAATGATGATTTCTGTCAGATAACGGCAACTATTTTCATCTGTAAAATTCACCCGTGTAATGTACGAACTTTGCAATTTACATCATTTAACATCATGATTATGATCCCAGAAATTTGGTCTAGTAATTTGGTTCTTAAAAATCGCCCCTTTCATTTCGAAAAGATACTCACGTAAAGTTGAGTTTTATAGCAATCGAATCTAATATATCAGCTATGTAACCTTTATAGACTGGTGTGCCATTCACATACTCTTCTTCTATAAACGATTTCCACTGGTATCAACATGTAACAAAAAATATACAGTGAAAAGTTCTTCAAGTATAATACAGCAACAAGCAGTGATGTTTCGTTCCCTGTATTCTAACGGTCACCGCTTTAACTCAAATAGAACGGAACGAAATATTTATAAAAAAAAATCAGCCATGGTAAAAATAAAGAAAGGAGCGGCTGCCAGGCAGGATACGCCCACATTTTCGAGAGATGGATAGAGAACAAGCTAAAAAGAAAGTGATTTTTCCTACAATCAGGGGCCATAATTCAGGAAGTTACGGTCCGATATGCGCGAATATCCAAAGGAACCGAGATCTTTGGGTTATAAACTTACATTTCATGTTTCCACTGGTATCAACATGTAACAAAAAATATACAGTGAAAAGAAAGTGATTTTTCCTACAATCAGGGGCCATAATTCAGGAAGTTACGGTCCGATATGCGCGAATATCCAAAGGAACCGAGATCTTTGGGTTATAAACTTACATTTCATGTTTCCACTGGTATCAACATGTAACAAAAAATATACAGTGAAAAGTTCTTCAAGTATAATACAGCAACAAGCAGTGATGTTTCGTTCCCTGTATTCTAACGGTCACCGCTTTAACTCAAATAGAACGGAACGAAATATTTATAAAAAAAATCAGCCATGGTAAAAATAAAGAAACCAGCGGCTGCCAGGCAGGATACGCCCACATTTTCGAGAGATGGATAGAGAACAAGCTAAAAAGAAATTGATTTTTCCTACAATCAGGGGCCATAATTCAGGAAGTTACGGTCCGATATGCGCGAATATCCAAAGGAACCGAGATCTTTGGGTTATAAACTTACATTTCAAGTTTCAACAAAATCGGATAAAAATTGTGACCTCTATAGGGTCCACAACCTTGATATACCATATTTTTACGCTATTTGAGAACGAACGGCGGCCATTTTGTCTGTCAATTTTGGGCCAATTTTCACGAAATTCGAACTCAGCCTTCCTTAGGTTGTAACGGTGATATAATAATACTTTTTTTTAAATCGGATAAAAATTATGACCTCCATAGGGTCCACAAGCTAAAAACGCGGTCCGATATGCGCGAATATCGAAAGGAACCGAGATCTTTGGGTTATAAACTTACATTTCAAGTTTCAACAAAATCGGATAAAAATTGTGACCTCTATAGGGTCCACAAGCTAAAAACGTGATTTTTCGTACAATCAGGGGCCATAATCCATGAAGTTTCGGTCCGATACATGCCAATATCGAAAGCAACCAAGATCTTTTGGGGATAAACCTATATTTCAAGTTTTGTCAAAATCGGATAAGAATTGTGACCTGTAGAGAGTCCACAAACAATTGTTGACGGACGGACAGGGGCGACGGCATAATACGTCCACAAGAAAATGTGGGCGTATAAAAAATAAGTAATAAAATAAATTTACGGCTTAGATCTGATTAGTGTAAAAAGTCACCCTGCCTTGCAACGCCTTCTAACTATTGCACCACTGAAATTTCGGGTTGAGGATTCCTTCATCACAATGGGAGATTGGCGGGCATCGTGGAATCTATAACGCGCACAATATGTGATTAATATTAACAGATTATTTTTTCAAGGCGACGTCGCTCATGGCTAGCGCGTGTGGATATGTAGGAGGCTTACTACACCAATCTATTTAAACAAACGTTACTCCATTATCAGTTACCATTCAGTGGTGATCAGTTATTCCTACACGAACACGGGCGTTCTCTGTGCTCGAAATATCAGCTGATCTTTTCTTTATCACTGCTGCTCGGATTGAAAGATAAGATAAGATAAGATAAGATTTTATTGTATCATTGCATCCACCAAGGACAGCATACACAGTTTAAACAAAAGTTGATCATACAATTGTAACATAACATCTGGGGTGATCCTTTATGGATGTACAATGTGATATAACAAGTCTATAAGCATTAAAAGATGGTCGGTATAATGAGAATCAGTATAGAGCTAAAACGAAAATTATCTAAACTAGCCTGAAAAATAAACAAACTATTTCTACCGTAAGTATTAGTATAATAAACATATTATATTGAACTGGGGTGAAATGAGCTATACATTGAAACTAAACTCATATCTTCGTGAGTGATGTATAAGGGTTATATGTTAAAAAGAAAACCAACGAAAAAAAAACCAAGTGGTCGACTAGCAAATCTTACGATAAAAGTAAAACAATAGCCTACAGTTTCTAGCAAGTATGACAATGTTTTATGAACTGACAATGCTTGTTATCATTGCTTTTAGTATAGCCCCGATATCACTAGGCCGGTAGTCCTATAGACTATCTAAATCGTTAAATATTAGCCACATTGTATACAATCTAGAGCATCTAATACCACACTGCCAATAGCCTTTGTTTTATTTTCGTATAGACATGACCATGCTTACAGTTTTGGTGATGACGTTGAAATGCCTTCCGTTGTATTTATAGTTGATGTTGGGAAATAGTTGTTCATCACGTGACATATCAACCGGATAAAACCGAACGCCACAGTTTGTCATCAAAAGTGTCATTACGTCACTTACAGATACACGTTCATCAGTCTAAAATTAAAGATACATTTTTAAAGACATTTATACATGCCTAAAATCAACTCTCTAGATCATTAGATGGCGGAGATTTAAACGGATTAAAATGCGATCGCCATTTAATGATCTAATTTAAAAATGGAGAAGCAGGGATGAGTCTCGATTAACAAGTGACGCTGTTGCGATAAAAAAAAAACCCAGTGATAACGCTAGTCAGAATTAGGTAATTTGAATGGAATTTTCAATATATTAATTTTGAATCATCTATTTTAGAACCATAATAGCAAGAGCGACCAGCTCTTAATCTATATCTCACATAATGTATCTTTAAATAACAACCTGTAGATTAATTTCTAAAAATGGCAATTAATATTTAAAACATTCTAAAATAAAACTTGATCTACATTTTCATTTCTTTTATGTAGCGGAATTTTTCCCATCCGCATCGCGTATCCGTATCGTCAAGTGATACGTTGCGTCAATTTAGTTTTAGAGTTTTGTCAGATTTTCGCGCCGCGTACGTATGAGTAGCTCAGCTAAGCCTAGTTTCATTACACCATGATGGCAGTTATCTACCAAGATTACCGCATAGCCTACAAATTCATAGAGGGAGTAAAGTCGCTCGACAGTCACTGGGCTATTAAATATAATTCAATGTCGAATCTTATGAAATATCTTCGACAACAATTTTCGGTTTCAACACGCTTTCATTTCAGAAAGTTTATACCCCTTCACCATAGAATCATATCATTTACAGATTTGCAAGGTCCCACCTCCCTAAATTTAACACGTCGATCAACCAGCATGCAGACAGACAAACAGACGGACAGGAAAAATATGAAAATTCCGAGAAAAACTCATCAAAAGTAATGATCAAATTCCAGTCTTTATCATAGTTAAAATCATATCAAATACACACCTTAGTGTTCTAGGATACATTATAGATTCATAAAAACGCTATTGCACAACATTTCAGCGTCTATAAGTATAGCAAAAAAGACGGTAAAAAGACGAAGGTGTTATATGGACCTTTTCCGTATGAAAGCTGTTCGATATACGTGCTGTACGTCAAGCGCAAAATAGATACGGATACGCGCTACGGGCCAGGAATTTACGCTTGCCAAAAATCTGTATTGTATCGAACGCCACGGTGAAATTTAATATCTAAATTCCCGAATTTCTTGCGCGCCCTTTTTGAAAGCAACTTGTTGTATCTTTTGAGATCGGTGCATACTATACAACCTGGTAGCTACTTAATATCTGAGCCTTGAAAAGCCGTGAAAAAATGCTTAACAAGCTTGGAATCGTCGTACCTGCATTGCATACACTAGATGTCCAAGAGCAACAAATCATTTAAGACCATTTAGAGCAGAATCTACAAATTTAAAAAAATCGTATTTTCTCAAAAGACTGACATACTGGACTTTGGCCTTTCAACTTTATCATTCTTGTCGATACGCCGCTTTTATCCCTTGTAACAGTGTATATCTTAAGGGCTATACTATATACCAGAAAACACCTAAAAACACCGGAAAACTACCGGAAACACCGGAAAACTACCAGAAAACACCATGTTATACTGAATACCGGAAAACACCGGAAAAACACTAAATACCGGAAAACCGGTATATAGTATTGCCGTATCATACCGCCTCGTACTTTATGCAATATGCTCTCTCATGTCTCACATTACATGTAAATCGCATATCACCTTTGTACACCATCCAACGTTTCATTCCATGCAGTACTGTCTTTAGTGCCACATCGTCTTACCATGTCAATTTGTATCCCTTTTTACTACATATCTACATAGCCCATACCATATTCATCCCACAAAAATATGAACCGTGGCGAATATCAATTATTAATTATTGACAAAATAAATACCCGATCACGAAGGTAGATAATTGCCATATTGTCAAATTTTTCCACCCGACTTTCAATTGGTTGATAAACTTGTAAATGATGAAATATTACCCATGTTGACCAATGTCTGATGTTGGTAGATTTTTTAGAATTCTCATCAATGCTGGAAATCTGAATGAAATGATCAATTAGGAAAAATATCAGAAATAAATTTATATAAGCAAAAGAAGACCAAATGAAATTTTAAAAAACAACAAAAAACACATGATTTTCGAACGATGGTACTTAATGGAGATGTGTATAAACGAAACAAGATAAGGTCCTATCGCCGAACCTTTTTGTACATCAAAAGTGAGAATTGTCTATCAACAATCAGAAAGAATGAACGACTCAATGCATCCGCCGTGTTGTGATGCATCCAGTGAGTTCTAAAGTAAGAAATACTTCTCTGATTTTGATGAAACTTGAATTATAGGATACCCTTTAGACAAATGACCACTCCTCGTATTCAAACAGAGTAAATAGTATGTAATACCAAAAACCTTGTGGCCCTCTAGAGGGTTTATATCCCTTGTGATATTCGCGCATAACGGACTGTAACTTCCTGGATTATGGCCCCTGGTTGTACGAAAGATCGCATTTATTTTAGCCTGTGGACCCTCTATAGGTTACATTTTTTCACCGATTTTAAAACCGTTCAAATATAGCACCATTACACCCTTATGACAGTTGAGTTCGAATTTCGTGAAAGTCGAACCAAAACTGTCAAACGAAATAGCCACTCCTCGTAGGCTAAAGGGTAAAAGTATATGTAATACCCCCCCCCCCCCCCACCCCCCAAAAAAAGAAAAAAAAGATTTTACAGGACATTACGATATTTTTACGCGACATTACGACATTTTTTTAATTCATATGCTCAGGATTTGGTCACTCATATGGATCTACTTCGGAGCCCAATAGTTTTTTAGATGTGGGAATGACTCGGGGTTGTTTTTGCTGATTTTAAAGTATTTTCATATTTCATAAAAACATGGCAAATTAGGTACATATGGAAAGTAGAGCTACTCAAATCACTATTTCCCAAGTATTCAATGGAAACTTCCAGTTTCAACTTCAACTTCAATCAAATCCAAACCACTAGATTTCTCGTAATAGTATTCCTTTTGTAAATAGCTCTTCTGTAAATTATTTCTTAAAATCCCACTTTAAAATCTGGTCGTATATCGTTGTCACCTCTGATCGTTTTATAGGGTGGTTATTTCTAATAAAAGTGGTCCTAAGGCAAATTAGGTGCACATAGAAAGTAGAGACACTCCATCCTTACTATAAAACTACTGGATTCCCCGAAAAACACCCATGTAGCTCGCAAAGGGCAAAAATGTATAAGTATTACTCATCAGTTTGTTGTCTGCTCGATTGATGTGGGAAAAGCATTGTATGTGCTGATGGAATTAATAGAGGTTGTGAGAACAGTAAGAAGCTTAATGTCCTACTGTTCTGCTCCGAACTGGGCTAATGAAGACGGGCATACGCCATACAGTGTGTTATGAGGGACAGCGGCACTACGGCCTACTCTTATATCGAAATCCAACTGTCAAAGGATCTTTTACAGGCACGCCAATGTGTACACGGGACCTCGGTTTTTGTCCCATCCTGTGAGTTCTAAAGTAGGAACTGTCAGGCTGATGAGGAGACACTTTTTTCAAGAAGTCTGTAGGAACTTCAGAGTCCAATGACCAAGACTTTGAAGCTCAGCTGCGAATTGTCTGATTTACGAACACGAACAAAACTACAGAAAGATGCAGCTGGTGAACCCTTCCATTTTGTTTTATTTTACCTGTTTGATAACTGCGATTATACCTGTATCTTCTAGTACGGCTATAAAATTGAGATATTCCCCAACATACATCTGTGCTACTTGTTTTATATAATCCATGAACGCTTCACCAGTAAATAAATCTACATTAACGGGAAAATATTTTCCAGCTTTCCTGTCACCACATTTACTCCATATATCTGATACAAACGAATCTTAACGAAACAAAAACATAAAAAAAGAGTTTAAAGAGGTGACATAGCGGTGAAAATTATGTTTTTTTTTAAATATCCATGTGGAATTTATCAAGGTGTAAAAAAAAAAAAATAATGCGTGCTCTTAATTCTTTGTTTATGATTCTTAGTGTTTAGTACGTATCAACTTTGTCATTTGTTACCTGCATTTGTTACCTGCATTCGAAATTTGTATATCAAAATCAACATATTACTGGGTAATATGTCGGCACACCTCATACTTTCTGGTGGTCATTTTACCTACCTGTGATATTATCAAACAATATAACAATATTTTTGGTTGTTTTCTTGATCATGCCAAAAATAAGATCTCTTCTTGAATCCATCCGTCTAATTATCTCACTTTCGCTCTCTAAGACAAACAATAAAAGAGAGAGCAATTATATACATACAAGTAACTTCAAACATTATAATTACATACACACAAACACAATATATATATACATGGCAAGTAAATACAAACAGACAAAAAATAGTATGGGGTGGGGTGTAAATATATTGTATATATAAACTTTATGAAATCGTACGATATTTTTTTTCATGTTCTAACATGCCTTCAAAATGGGGAAAATAAGCTTGGTTACTACCATAGTAATGACCATGACACTGTTACAGTTAAATCAAAGAGAGGTTACATTTTAAGTAGACCAGGTGCTATGGCAAAATTAATTATTATTTACTAGAGTGGTTCTTTTCTTATCGACAGAAGTGAGAAATTTGGATAAGCTCCGTAGTTCGAATGTTAAAGTTGTACTTAATAATTGAATTAATTTAAATACATTAGGTTTTCGTAAAAAGTATGGTTTGATGAATTCATGGCGCAATTCATTAACAAGGACAGCTTAACATAAAATGAAATTCATCTTCTATATCGTTCCAGTTATTTTATTGTATCGGCATACTTCTAAATTTAAATTATGCGCGGAAATTCGGAATTTAGTTTAAACTCTTGTGCGGACACCAGCAAAATGTTGAAAAGAAAGGGGAGGGGGGTCCACAAGACTCCTTGTGTCCGATAATGTAATACTCGTAGTTTCTTGTAAAATGGTGAGTGTTGCCACTGCCTTACTTCCATTCTATTTGCAGCATTATACTCGACATTAAGTGACAATGTATAGTATTCTCGCTAGACGACTATGAACCAGTTCCTCACAAACGTTAAGGGTATAGTCGTGGGGTCCCGAAATACCCCATGTATATTCACAAAGGTTTAAGAAAATGTAACGCGTTTTTTTATTAGTTTGCTTAATTATACCTTTGGCAGACGATTTTATTTTTCCATTATTTTTACGGGCGGAGATATCGTATAAACTATTTCTTATAATATTAAACGTACTATTATTATTTTCTTTTAAAAAGAGTCAAAGGAAATATTTTGCAATTTTGTAGGTATTTAACCGCATACACAGTTTGTCCCCTTCAATATCAATTTAAGTACATGTAATTCACCTTTCTATGTCCCTTGTATATCACTAACCGCAATATGTTCTATTTATATATAAAAAAGAGAAATGATGTGAAACAAAACAATTAATTGATATGCATGTAAAACAAATATCTGAGCGCTTTAAAAATTAAAAAAAAAGATACAACAATGCATATAAAATATGCAAATGAAATGATACATATACCTATATTCAATTCAAATTTATAATAAAACATCTCTCAAAAATGTCTAGTGTCTTACAGTATAGAACTGGTCGGGCAAATAATTGGTGTAATGTATAAAGGAGAAAGTTATTATTTTCGCTGTAATAAAATTAAATAAACCACACTTCAATGTTTTCAAGACATTTGGTGCAGAATTGACTGGTGATATTAACGGTAAGTAATCGTTATTGCTTTATTATTGAACAAATGGACAATTTTCACCTGTACAACGCTAGTAATGCTTAATTTATATAAATGTAAATCTTTAATTACCTGTGGATCCATTGGTAAATTGGAGAAACACAATAAAAACGAACATAGATAATCCATACATCGCCAGATTTAAGTACGGGTAGTTAGAAACACAACTTAAAATATTCACTTATAATTGAAAACTCCGAGTTACAACCCATCTTTCTGAAAACATGAATGAACACATATCACTTATAAAGAAATCAGTACAAACTATTTTTCAACTTATTTCGAAACCTTATCGAACAACACACACCAACAGCTTCGGTTTCTGAAAAAAATCAGGTCCAAACTATTTACTAGTAATGGGACAGTTATACTCAGGCTTAACTGAAGTTCTAATAAAGTACGTAATATATATTTTAATGATACAATATTCAAGAGCTAAATCTGGCTATTGTAGTTCTTTCGTTAGACCTTAAATATTATATGAATTATTTTTAGGCATTTATTAACATGACAAGACCATAATCAACTCTCTAGGGCGTCGGATGGCTCCGATATTTAGTAGATTAGAACGGTTCGGCCATTTACTGATTTAATTCATAATTCGAAAATGGAGAAGCTAGGCTAATTCTGGAATATACCATTACCGTGGTTACAATAACAAAAAAAAACTACAACTACAAAACTACAAACCGTGATAACTTGGTTCAGAATAAAGTAATTTGAATGAAATTTCAATGTATTCATTCTGCATTATCTAGTTTTGAGGCATTATAGCAATAACGTCCACCTCTTTATCGAAATCTTACATAATATATCTTTAAGTGATAACCAGATACCTAAATCCATTACACAAAGACCAATGAAGATACAAGTCAGTGGACTTCTTTAATAATATATATTCTCGTTTAGAATGGAAGTTTATAAACAATTTCACTCAGTAGCTTCAGCTTCTGAAATGCGCGAATAAACTATCGATCCATTGAACTATGAGAAGTGACGGATGCCGTGCACGAGTCCGTGTGTTATAACATCAGATATCGTATCTGATTTATTTGTAATGTTCACACAGTTAACAGATATGTATAAAAATCACCACAAATATAAGTCTGGTAGTATTCCAAACGTACTTTTCCTAAAATATTGTCTAAATCTAAACTAAACAGGTGTTTTTTGTTTTAACACAATATTCCATTCACCAAAGAGAGAGGTTTAATACAAGTTTGCGTTAGCCGCATGCATATTGATCATATAATTATATCCAGATAATCGTAAATAATGTCAATTATCCAAATCAAACCAATCAAACGGAATACCAGTACAGGGGCATGGTGACTGCTGGTTGTTTATCAGGAACTAGATACCATGGCGGCCGGGGGAGTTTCATCAGAGCGATCATATTTGACACTGGTTGAGCAATCAAGATTGTTGAGCAATATTATGGTTATGAATTAATGAAGATTAGAACCTGCCAATCATCGAAAGCCGCATTGAAATCATGTGACTTTTTTATTTGAGAGAGGGTTCAACTAAATCATGTCTAGTTACCTGGTTGTGACCGACCATTGATTGACTTTTTCTGAATAGTCCGGCAGTCAAAACCTAGTTTAAACCTACACATGGAAATATATTCCACCAAAATGTAGATTCCGAAACCAGATGATGCCACACGGGCTCCCTTGGTGAAATTTAATCATTCAAGATGGCCGCCATGGGGCAATTTCTGGTTATTTAGTTGGATACAATTCGTGACAAATTCTCTTGGAACTTGGTTTGACTACACAGGTATATCGGAGATATTGACGTTTTAACTGTGAATATGAGTTGTACACATTTTATACTATACTCTTCAAAAAAAGTAGGGGGTATTGAAATGCAAATACCTAAGCAGGTTGTGATATGATAAATAGTCATGGACACTTGACATGCTTCGAGATCGAGTATGTTCATAGATGAAGAACTTATCGCCCCAATAGAACCACTGAGCTTCACCTGCGACACGCAATAGCGCCATACACGTGGAAGAGGTTCATTGTCAAATTTGACACTTCAAGGTAGGGTTGATGAAAACTGCCACGTTTGCTTTCCTATCGGTTCTTGCATAAGATTTACTGTTTAGCTTATCTTTGCTTTAGTGTGTTACGTTTAATTTGTAATGAGACGTCTTCGATATGATGAATGTCCACGTGCTATTGGCATGCTTCAAATGAGTTCTACACAGTGAGCAGTAGCCAACATGCTTAATGTGTCACAGTCTGTGATCAGCAGACTGTGGAACGGGTACCAACAAACACACAATGTTGATGATAGACCTCGTTCAGGTCGTCCTAGAGCCACTACACATACCCAGGATCGATACATTCTTACATAGGTCCTGCGAAATCTAGGACAAACGGCCTATCAGCTTTCTGTAAACTTGTACCAAGTTATAGGAATTCGAGTTACACCCCAAACGATTAGAAATCGGCTACATACAGCCCATTTGCATGCGCGACGACCGCGTGTTGTGCCTCCATTAACTCGCCAGCACATGGCAAACAGAGGTCATTGGTGTAGGCAGCATAGAAATTGGGGTAATCGTCGATGTAAAATGTTTTCAGATGAGTCCAGATTTACTCTGGATTTTACCGATAGACGTGTAAATGAACGTCATGCTAACATTAACGTCAGACGTACAGCATGACAGATTCGGGCGTGGGTCTGTTATGGTGTTTGGATGAATCACCATGACTGGCATATTGTTCAAGAAAGGGTCACTGGTGTGTACTACCGTGACCACATCCCGGCACCGATAGTTCTGCCCTTTGCTCAACGTGCAGGTCGACGGTTCATCAACCGACAACACTGCAAGAATTGACCGTGGCACTGCAAGAGGAGTGGGTCAAATTGCCCCAAATCGTGATTGGACGGTTGATTAGAAGCATGCCACGACGGATTGCTGAATGTCCGAGGATTGGTGCAGCAATTACTCATTATTCAGACAAAAATCATAAACGTCCATTTTCACTTTTGACAGTGTATCTCTTTGCGAGTGAAATGGGGCCGTCAGATAAGCCGCCCTTATGAACTGTTTATGTTCATGTGTAAGCAATTGGCCTGTTTTTATTAGAGGTAACGAGTGTATAACATACACTCGTTACCTCTAATAAAAACAGCAGTGAATTTCCGAATTTTGTATTGTTTATAAATATCCCCTACTTTTTTTAAAAGAGTATTTGTTTAAAGAACGCTCGTGAACAATATCGTAATCTAAGTAGTTTAGTGCTTCGATTTTTGATCACAATCAATTATTTTCTCTTTAATCACTAAACCGGTGCGAAAAGATTTTACGCTAAAACTATGAAAATAATAATCAATTAAATAATCCATTGTAAATTATTTAATGTGTTTTTGTAACATCCTGCAAACTTTAAGTTAATTTTTCTGTATTCCGTCATTCCATAATTTCCGTATGTCAATATCATCAGTTTCAAACACTTTACCAATAGACGATGATGATGGTGATGTTGTCGATGATGACGATTGTGAACAATAATTTTCAATCCAGTATTTAATTTATCTTTGGACATTGTAGTGCAAATGATGTAACTGTCAAACCTTTTAATAAAGACGGAAATGATGATAATGATTGTGAGTTTGGAACATCTTTCGAAATTTTGAGAAACTGCATCTGATTGACACCACTGTCCCGCTGGCAAGTAGGTACAATATGTAGCTCCTATGTAATGCCATAAAAAAGGACCAATGTATGTTACAAAAAAGAAAATAAGGCCGATAAAAATGTGTATGTAAACACGTGTGTGTATAATTTAAAAATATTGAGGATATGGTTTTAGATCACAAAACGTTTGTATTGATCCACATTTTTATATATATATATAAATACGCTTTTTATCATTTATTTTTTGAAAGTCTATATTTTCATATTTGTCTGGAATATTGGCGACTTTAATACACACCTGAATAACCTTTGCCTCTTTCATTTAGGTCAAATTAAAGTATTCAGTAGAGTTGACCAAATGTGTTATTTCGATTAGTAATGGGACGAGCTATATTCGATTATATTTTGGTTTCGAACAATTGATTGAAAGTCAATTTGTTTTCAAAGTTTGATTCCAATTTTAGCTTACACTGTCGACAGTTGAATACAAAACCGGTTATATCTCAACAACAATAATTTTCCGATATGTTTGTGTTCACATATTGGGAAGTAAGTATAGTAAGGTCACGTAGGTAGTTTGAAATATTTAAGATTAACGGAAAAGGCAGGGCAATGATTTCTGTATCCTTCTTCGAAATGTAAAGAGATAGGATTTCCAAGGTTCAGTGAATTTGACTGGCCATTATGAAATAAAATGATAATCTTGCGAAGTCAATCAAAACGTTTTCGTGGAATAGAGACAGGTGTGACCCTTAAGATAAGACACTACAAACCTTCAATTTCAAGCCGTTCACGAGCTTTAAACCGTTCGAAGAAGCATCGTATCTATTCCTTTCATTCACCCCCATCTTTTTTTGTGATATAAGAACTGCATATTTTTGCGTGGTTAATGAAGGTGGGTCTACGTCATGCAGTGAGCTATGAGATAAATTTTGCATGAACAGCAATCGAATTCCAACTGTCAAGGGTTCTTTTCTTTTACGTGCACACCAAGGTGTACACGTGACCACTGTTTTTTTCGTTTCACCCGAACGACTGGGCGCTGATCCTTGTAAGGACCCCCGTCCTGCACCACTGACAAGGGGGAAAACAGGCCGTCAAATCCCGAGGAACTTTCTCAGCCAATACAGGGATCGAACCGGGTACGTCCAGGTTAGCGAACCGGCGCCTTACCAACCGAGTCTCCGCGACTCCCCAAAAGACTTCCGCGCGCAAGGCAATGGTATTTTTTGAAGTAATGATCCCGAAAATAGCATTATAGTCTGTGTTATGTGGACGTTAACCTGCATCCAACATCTCTCAGCCCCCATTATTATATTTCGCTATTATGGGACCGGAACGCTACAGCATATAAACAACGTAATTGTAAACAGGATGTCACCTATATTTAGCACTCGTGTGACACGAGGATATTCAGTGTATATATAAGATAGACAGTATTTATAATGTAATTGAATTATAAAGCTTCAGTATGGCCGTGGCTGTTATATTAAATCATATTAATACATTATTATATATTCTAGCCTCATGGATCACAACTGCCCAGGTACGTTGATATATATTCTAACATTTTTAATTGTAGGAATGTCTCAAAAGCATATAAACTGATATAGGCCTATAGTTATATACGATGCCCTAAATGTGTAATGAAGTATGGAAAACATGTTGGGCCTTTATTAAGAAACACCTGAAATCATTTCTATGAATTCCATTATTTTTCAAATTGTAGTATATGGTACAATACACTTCAAATTTGACAGATATATCGGTTTTTACACTGGATAGATTAGAGGTAAGAAAATTATTTGTTTATTTTTTTCATTAAGTGTAGTGTTTCGATGATTTAATAGGGAGAGAGAAACGGAGTTTAAGTTCCACTTGAAACAAACTAGGCCATTTCGGAACCAACATATGGTTCAATTTTATTGAAATAATTCGCTTGTGCGTATAGGGGCCTTTAGCAGCGGGGGGAAACCGAGGGGATCAGAGAAAACCCACGAGGCTGGGATGATTTAATGACTTATTACCTGGTAACACACTTTGTAGTACCCGTAACATTCACACATTTAATTATCTTAGATTCATCTGGATGTCCAAGTAAAATATAGACCTAACTTATTTGAGAGAAACACGATGGTTAATCCACAGTTAAACCCTGACAGTTACCAAATGATTGTCAACGCAACAATTACAGACGCAATAAAGGTAGAATATTTTAACTATTTCAATTTCTAATAGTTTACGCCGTTGTTTCTGGAAAACCAATCTGATTAAAATACAGATCTATATTCCGTTTCTTTTTTATGCTTTCGATGTCCTACACTACATGAAGATCTGACCAGTTGTACTGAGAGATCGCGCCAGGGGTCATACGAGTGGCTTTTGACCTATGACGTCAGACACTGATTAATCAATCAGCGCGCGTTGACGTTTCTAGGGTTTTAGCCTACCCACAGTTCGTGCAGAGCACGCAAAAAACTCGCCGTAACAGACCGTTTCATTGGCTAATTCCTCACATCAACTAAAACGCCTGATGTATAACAACTCTTCCAGATCCTAGTGTTGTGAAGGCATGTAAAACGAAATTTTGAACTATAAAAAACGAAACGAAATAGGATCTGTTTTTTAATCAGATTGCTGGAAAACTGATGGCTCCGTATAACGGGTGAGCCAAACAAAAAAACCTTAGACCACTTTCAGTATAAGTGTATTGAATATCCCTACCCCAGACACTTCCCCCTCTGATCATAGTCACGAGTAGGTTTATTCCTTGTTACTAGAATACATGATACCACCTAAATGTGTTATACAGTTTGTATTGTCACAACGTACATAATCAAATCTCGACATATAGAAGTTTATTTACAGTTAATTTATAGTCTTTGATTCTACAGGGAACATCCCCGCATTTTTCGGTGCTTGAATATTTTCAAAAGAGAGATGTCGTGGAAGCAGCTTTTAAAGACGCTATAGACTTAAGATTTGCAGGTGTATGTTGTGATTTTGGATGTAACAGCAGAAACAGAGGTATGTAATTATTGTTGACTATGAGGAAAGGCTTCGGGTTTAGCACCCCTTCAACAATTTAGTAAAACTATTGAGTGACGGTTATTTTATATATTATCAATCAATTTTTTCCTGTGTAATGCATTGTTGGATATTACCCGAGTGGTCAGTGGTCACCTCGGGCAACGCACAGTAACGGAGCAGACTTTTGGAACTAGAGAGGGCAAAAATCAGGTGTGCATTGCACTGAAGTAGAGATGCTGTTTCGGTAAGGGGTGTGAAGGGCGATTTCTGTATGATCTTTCAATTTACATTTCGTATCTAAACAAAAGTAAAATAAATTTATAACAGAGACTGTTGATCTGTGTTACAAGGCCAATCGAACTAAAATATGTTTTCTATGTGTTAATTAGTATATCGTGTTTAATATTCTTGGTTGTTATTTTTTCGTGTGTTTTAGGATGTAAAGAAGGTTGTAAATCCAGGGAAACGTGTACAACTAATGATAAAGGAGTTTTTACTTTATTAGATGAATTTAAACTTGTCGAGATTCACATTCCTGATATCGTTAGAGAGAGAATATTACAGGTCCTTGCTAAAACTACTACCACAACAACCCCGTAAAAGACAGGACGTGTAGTTATGTTTTCAATGTTTGAAACGTTAATAGTATTTAAGGAATTCAAAGCACTATCCTACATCATGCGTTGCTAAAAAGTAGATTATTGCTTGAATTTAAGATACACGTATTGTGAAATATGAAATTATTACAAAATCGATTACATATTGTTCTCGATGAAAATTTGTTTTTATACTTTGGTCGTTAACAATAAAGATTCTAACATATCGCAATAAGTATCTAAATGAGCAGAAAGATGACAAAGTTCGGTCTGTTTGCAATTGTCTTCTGAAACGTTCGCATCAAAAGCATGGCCATTCACCATTGTTTATTTGTTAGATTTTCCACATGTAGCCCTTATATTTTTTAATTTTGCACTTTGGACTTTTTCGGGTATAGTTTGTTAAATTTTGCTGATGGTGCGTTATTTTGTAGAGGCCTTTACCATTTTGGATTAACTGACTGTATTTTCTTCAGTGCTATTTTAATAGACGGTTCCCATCATCCCATTTATTAAACTGTCTTTTCTCTACGGTCTGTAATCTTTCTATTTAATATTTTGTTATAAAATATAATGCATTGGAGGTTTTCATAGGTTTTGTTTTAATATATTTGTTTTTAATTTTTGAATGTGTTATATGATACAGAAGTTTACAATATTATATTTAACTTAAGGGAGTACACTCCTTTGATTTAAGTAAAAAATAAAGTAATAAGTAGATTAATAGCATGTGTTATTTTCATACACCCACATGAAAATGTTGCCGTATTTTGTCGTCGCCCTCATCTATTCGTCGTCCACAATTTCTTAGCTGGTGTGGGCGTATGTGGCAACCTTAGTGATGGTAAATGCTACATCCCCATAAACATTGCAATATAAGGACCATATGGGGAAAAATGGGCTGTGGACCCAAGTTCCCCATACTGGACCCATATTATCTTCCCACATACAAATGTACGCAAATGCACTTTACTTTCATGTATACTAATATCACAGAGACAAGCCAAATGATATAATGGTTACTTCTTTCTTACATTGATAATCTGACCGTATAGTGTGTGTATCTGGGGCCAGTATGGGATCTATATGGGATTTCCCACATTAACAACTCTGTTTTTGTATACATGGGGCTAATATGGTATCCATATGGGATTACCCGTGTGTGTATCTGGGGACAATATGGTATCTGTATGGGAGCACATATAACTTTTGTATATCTGGGGCCAACATGGTATCCATATGGGATTAATTATTTCTGTATGTATAAGTTCACTATTGAAGCCATACAGTCAAATTGATCCACTATGAGCCGAGAACGAAGCGGGTGAAATTTTCGCATAGTCTCGGTCATCATTACTAAAATCATTAATATAAACAGCATAGTATCGATTATCCACTGTTTTGATTTAATTATCAATGGCCGTTAAGTGGCACATAGGAATCTAATCCAGCCAACATCGAAGGCTAGCCTTGGCATCGAGAGTTTATTATGGTCTGGATAAATTGATAATTTAGATAACATTTCAGGCCTAAAGAAAGACTTGTAATAAGCAGATTTTGCTCTTGCATAATGCATGTTTAATTAGACATTTATTAACATAAAAAGACCAAAATCAACCTTCGATGGCATCTTATATGGGTCCCATTTTTATTGGTTTTGAAACCGATTTTCTGTCCAACGCCCATTGATGATTAACCGCAAACATGGATAATCAAGTCTTTTTTTTATTATCGTAACAGCGGTAAAAATGACAAATCGAGGCTACAGTGTTTCATAAATCAGATTGAAGAAATTTCACTGAAATTTTACACATTTCCCATTTACATTATAATCTATTTTTTAGCTATTATATCTAGAATTAAATTAAATTAAAGTATCTTTAAGTCAAAAAATTTCAGGGCTGGTAACCTAACAGGTTACTGCATAGGCTGCCTGAAAATTATATGTGGCAATCCGGTTTTCTGCTGTAATATATATTAGTGATGAGACCGTCTATGTATGGTAGCCTGTAAGAATTGAGCAGTAAGAGATTAGACTTTAATAAAATTGAGAAATGAAGTCTTTTTCCTTTGTTTTATTTTAATTTATAATATTGAACATGAACAAAACTTTGTAACACAGGGGTTACGTACAGGGGTCAATGGCACAAAATTCTTGAATTAACAATGGATCAGAAGCACATAATGATGAATAATACCTGAACAAAATATCCAATCTTGCTGAAAATTGGCACAAGGCATGCCCGATCGACACTCCAGTTAATTCACAGAATAATAATCAATCAATACAAAATGTAACCAAAGAATATTCATGGTGATGCGACTATATATATGTAAATTATAGGTGAACAAATTCATCACCCAACATATCAAACTCAATATAAACAGCATTTCAAAAATAACACTTCTGTACTTCTAAAACCAATACAGTAATAACAAAGCAGAAAAATATAACTTAAGATTAAATTAATTTTCAAAAAGTATATCATATGCAATTACATTTTTTTATGGCTAAAGCCGGCTTATTTACTAATTTTAGTTCCAAGTTTGGCTTCCTGTGCCATAGTGGAACACAAAATCGGTTACATCTTAACACTGGCTTTATCTGTAGATCTACAATTTGCGACGAAAACCGATTGTCTTTCCCAGAATAAGTCAACGCATAAAATATTTTTGGTGGACAAGAATTGAAATTCACTTAAAAATTATAGTGTTGGGTTGTGTTAGATGTGGCTAGAAATAATTCCTCGTGACGAACAAAGTTGAATTACGATGAAAATAGAAGGCAAGGACTCCAAAATAGCCATAGCCTTAGAACAGAGTTGGGGGTAGAGTCTATAGGCTAAAAGAGTGGTACATGTATTTTCATATCACATCTTGATAAGTACGAACAGGAACTAGGCTACCATCAGCCATACAAATAATCAACATAGATGCCAGGGAAATGCCAGGGAAAAAAGTGGATATTTAAATTTGGTCAAGTTTACATTGTGCACGGTACTACATCGTTTTTTCGTTTGTATGGTGCGTAGTGGGATACAATATTATGACAAAACGATTTCTCCTACGGTGCTCCGTAGTTCTAAAAATAAACTTGTCTAGACGCGAGGTGAAAGGTCATAGGTCATAATATAAAGGTTAAAATGGCTGCTTTTAGCGTGAAATTTCTGTCAACTGTTTCGGCGTTTTCTAAGAATCTGTTAAATCGCCAGACATTGTCATCATGTCGGGCTTTTATCAGTCACACCCAAGAACAAGCACCAGAAGATGAATTCCATGTAAATTATTTGGATGGCGATAGAAAGGGTATGTAGGACTGTAAATCCAAAGTAGGCCATAACACATACTTATAGTTTTACTACACGATTGACGATACAGGGTTAGATTAACGAAATGAAATGGGGTTAAACGTCCTACTGTTCTGCTCCGACAGAGTTAATGAACACGGGCATATGCCATACAGTGTGTAATCAGGAAAATTTTGCCTGGGCAGTGGCACTATGGATTACGCGATCGAATTTCAACTGCCAAGAGATCTTTTACGTGCACGCCAATGTATGCATATATGGGACCTCGGTTTTTCGTATCATCCGAATGACTAGACAGCTGTCCTTCTCAGACCCTCCGTCCTGCACCACTAACAAGGGGAAAAAACGTTGGAAAATCCTGGTTAGATAAACAACCTATTACTATTAGTGTATTTATGTCCAAGTAACAATAGCAAATGATCGGAAGGGGTGAATGCACATAGATTTGATTTTTAAATACCCACTAAAAACACATGCATGTGCAAACTGATGTAATAACCAGCCTAGTCCATTTTTAGCATAATGGAGACTGGGCAAGTTTACAACAATATTATAAATATTGGTGTATGAAATAAAATGAAAATATAATGAATTTTGAAGTGGTAACATTATTAATGGCTTATGCACCAACCTGGCTAATGAAGATGGATATGCGTTGTGAAATCTCGTCTGAAGCCTAACTGTCTAGGGTTTCTTTAGGTGTATTAGTTAAAGGACTTCAGTTTTGTGCTCCATCCAAACATCTAGACAGATGTTCCTTGTGTCTTGCACAAATGACAAGGTAAAACTAGACAGAATCTTTTTAGGATCCACATATGTATTTTCTGTTTTTACAATGAACATGGATTTGAGAGTAGATACTGGCTCCATTTACTGGACATTAGAGAAAAGTATATAAGGATATTCTCTGAAATCACCTACAAATTTTGTTTGTAAGAGAAAAGAGCTGTTTATACAAATCAAAATGAGGCTGGTGCTACTGCAGGGATAGTTTATAGAGTCAGACTTTTTATTAAAAACAAAATGTGGACACAGAAACTGATAGCTTTTCTTAGATGAAACGACAATGATTTATGTCTGATATTTATTTATACTTTTCTTCGTTTAAATCCTGATCATTAGAGTTTACATGTACATTGTTTTTATTGTAGGTATTGTTGTTCTATCTATGAGAAGATTTAAAGCTAGAAATGCTATGGGCAGAAATATCATACAAAGGGTAATATTGATAGTAACTTTTTTTTATCAATGAATTAAATTTAAATTATACAATAATAATATTGATATTAAATTTTTATCGATCAAATACATTTTGCACAATGTAGTATTGTTATAAACTTTTGTAGATGATAATTGTGGTTATTTCCCTTGGATACAGGTAAGAAAATAATCACTCATGCCATGCTTAGGTTTAAAATTCCTATATTTTGGCCACAATACACCAAAAATAAAGCATAATGTAATTGAAATGTGATTTTAATCCGATCGGAATCAAGAAGATATTTATTGTTGATTTTTTATATAATCTGATTACAGTTTATAGATGGTTGTCAACAGATTAAACATGATAATACTATCAGTGTGGTTATTTTAAGAAGTGAAGTACCAAATGTCTTCTGTGCAGGTATGTTTAATGAAATGGCTTTTTTCCATCATAGCTATTTTCTTTTGTTCTTGAAGGTCCAAAATAAGGCTTTATCAGTAGGGGATATTCAGAAAAATTGATTATGGTTTATCAGGAATTGGAGCGTGACTGACCCTGAATAATGATCCACATAATATGTCAGAATAGATTATAGTTCAGTATGATATTAAATAAGTAATGTATTTATTTCTGAATAATGGGTAGGCCTACTATTATGGATAATCATTTATCAAATAAATATTAGATAAGGAATTTGTTATTTGTAATATTAGATATATGATACATACTGCTATTATATCATGGTTAAGACATCTAGTATCTGCGCAAAATAACTTCATAGCTTCTAGTTTCATTTATTGATGACTTTATAAGAACATGACAATCTAAAACAACCATTGTAAAACATAACATAAGATCAATAAAGTTTTAAAATGTTTTTGTGGCTAATAAACTAATGTCCCTTTTAATTTTAATACTACTGTGACTACATAAACCATGTTGCAGTGTAAACATACATTATGCAAGAGCTAAATTTGCCTATTGAAGGTCTTTCTTTAGGCCTGAAATGTTATCGAAAATTAATTTACTTATCCAGACCATAATCAACTCTCGATGCCATTGATAGCCTGCAATATTTACTGGATTTGAATACATTTTGTGTTGGATGATTTAATGTCAAAATGAATAATCAACACTTTGTTTTTTATCGTACCAACTTTAGTAATGATGATCGAGACTAGGCCTAAAATTCAATCGCTAATATATCTCTGTTCAGAGTGGAGAAATTTGACTGAAATTTTCAGCATATTCTCTTTACATTATCTATTTTTTAACTATTATAGCGAGAACTATCAGCTCTTTATCTAATCTCCCATAATGCCCCTTTAAGAGTATTTGATGATGATGGTAATTAAATGGTATTCTTCCTTTCAATTTAAATTTAAAGCCACAGAGAATTGTTTTACATCTGAACATCATTATGTTCCTTTAAAAAGTTGTTTGATATACTGTACCTGAATTCTTACAGGAGCTGATTTAAAAGAGAGAGCTGAGATGAATAATAAAGAAGTAGGAGAATTTGTCCAGAAATTACGAGGCAGTGTAACAGAATTAGCTAATCTACCAATGCCAACTATAGCAGCTATTGATGGATTTGCTTTAGGTGGAGGTTTAGAGATATCTCTAGGATGTGATATGAGAGTTGCAGGTAATAAGAATGAAGTTTAGCACATTGTCCTCACAATACTTGGCTAATGTTAACACTAACATATACAGTCATATTTATTCACTATGCACATGTGTGTAGTGCTACTAGAGGAGAATTTAGCCCTTGCAGTGACCCCACCCTCCTTCCTCTTCAAATTCTGCTTGTCTTAGCAACTGGCTACTGCTCTTTTAAGGTTCTGAAGGTTCTTTTCAGCCAGTCGTCACAACACCAATAGTTGCAGGTAAAAATTACACTGATTATTATAAACAAGGTTTATCTGAATTAGAGCTTCTCTATAAACAATTTATAATAATTACTTGTAGTGTAAAATTATTGCCAAAAAATAAGACCTGTAATATTAGTTTGTTTGTCCAACCCTGTAGTAATCTATCTGCCTTATTTTTGATTGTCCCAGTTATAGGACAAGAATATACTCATTCAGTAAGATTCATCCTGGTTCACAGTTTATATAGTTATCTTGATATTAAATATCTGATTTATTTAAATGTTTATATAGTTATCTTGATATTAAATATCTGATTTATTTAAATGTTTATATAGTTATCTTGATATTAAATATCTGATTTATTTAAATGTTTATATAGTTATCTTGATATTAAATATCTGATTTATTTAAATGTATGTATTTTCAGCAAGTAATGCTAAGATTGGTTTAGTAGAAACAAGTTTAGGTTTGATACCCGGTGCTGGTAAGTTCTTTCAATTATATAGTTTCATACCAGGTGCTGGCAAGTTTTTCAAATTATAATGCTCTGACCTCATCGATTTTCTCCAATTTCCTCCTGTGTCTAAAGAGTCCTGCTGCACACACAATCAACTTTCTATAGAGACGGAAATGTGAAGTAACTCCTACTCGACAAAAGCTAGTTCATTGTGGGACTAGGGCACACTTTTATTTCAATAATTCGATTGTGCATAAGGGTTTTAAGCATTGGAAGGAAATCGGAATACCCGAACAAAACCAACAATGCAAGGTTGTCAATGGTCACACCATATGATTTTTAACGCATGCCTAATACCACTTGGCCATCCAACCCTTTGTGTAACGACAGAGTTAAACCCAGTCCGTTTGGCTACAAAATTTCCTGAACTACCAGACTTGTCCAAGACACCATAGGGGGGTTGGATGGCTTAGTGGTTAGCACGTGCGCGCTGTATCATTAAGTCTGTCATTGAGTCAACTGGCGTGGTTTCGAATCCCCGGTTGTACGTGACAAGGAGTAGGGTCGCCTGTCCAACCTCATGGGTTTTCTCCGGGTCCTCCGGTTTCCTCCCACTGCTAAAGACCCCCACGCGCAAGCGAATTATAGAAATAAAATTGAACCATATGTTAGTCCCGAAATGACCTAGTTTGTGTCGAGTTGACGTTAAACCCCATTTCTCTCTCTCTCTCTCTCTCTCTCTCTCCAAGACACCATAATTTATATTAAGTTATCCAAAAAAAAGTAAGTTATTTACCATTTGTCCTGATATTTTCTGGGTGTAAATTGGTGATGATAGAGAAAATACAAACTTTTTAGAATTTGGAAATTACGCATTCGTAAAGATGGAAAATATAATATCCTAATGTTCATTTGTGTACTTGCAATGGAAATTAAACTGAAAGTTAGCAAGCCTGCCTAAAAATTTATTTTGATTTTTAGGTGGAACTCAGAGATTATGTCGAGTGGTAGGGCCTTCGTTAGCAAAAGAATTAATCTTCACAAGTCGTAGATTAGATGGGTTCGAGGCAAGAGATTTGGGTGTTGTGAATCATGCTGTACAGCAGAATGACGCAGGCGATGCCGCTTATCAGAGATCATTAGAATTAGCTGAAGAAATTTTACCAAATGTAAGAATAATTGATTATTAGAATTAGCAGACGAAATTTTATCAAATGTAAGAATAATTGATTTTTTAAGTTGGCACACAGTGTATGTCGAGCAATCATGAAAGGGGAACTAAGATGATACAAAAAGTGTTCTAGACGTGACCAAACAGTTTTTTGCTTATTGCGTTAGCTGTGGTAATATTATGAGAACTATTCCAAATGACCTTAATTGAAAACTGTACTCATAACAGGGTTTCTAGTGATGATATCTCATGTATCCGCCTAATTCGAGTTTGCTTACTGTATTGTTGTGGTTGATGTTGCCTTATAAGATCTTAGAGTACCTTATTTCTTTAAAGCCTTTACCGATACTGTAATTTGTATTTATATATTTTAGGCACCAATAGCTTTAAGAATGGGCAAGTTGGCTGTAAATAGAGGAATAGAGGTCAGTTGTGTATTTCGTCTATCAAAATCATTTCAATAGATCTTTATATTAAAGAGGTTTTATCATTTCAGCAATTGTCAACGATTGCTTATTTTATTTTTAACCAAATCTGACTGTACATCAAAACTAGGAATTTCCAAAGTAGATGACGTTCAAAATTTGAGATCGGTTGGTCGTTCAAATTTAGACTTTCCCGGTATACAGATTTTGTAGCCAAAGCTCATGTTATTTCAGGTATGGAAAAAATGATTTTAATTGTAGAATGTACCTGACATAATGACAAGCAATATTAAACTGGTAGGCCTACCTGACATATTTAAGTTTGTGCTGCATGTACAAATATAAACGAAAACACAGATTAAAGATAAATCTGTACCAGACAATAAAAACAGGTGACATAGGATTTATGCCTGACAAAACCTGAATTTGTGTCGGACATTGTCAGTGACAGGTGACTTTTTTCCAGTCTTGAATGTGCACTTAACTGGGTAGTATCTTTTCTTAGAACATTAGCTAAAATAGGAATGTACACTAAGATAAGTTTGTTTTGTTTTCTTTCATGAAAAAGACATTACTAAGTACATAAAGTTTGTGGACACTCTAGTCCACCGAGGTCTTAGTCATCTAAACTGACTAATTACACTTAATCCTTATAAGACATATAGAGGTAGATTTCACAAATTAAAAACACTTATATGGATATACTACTTCTGAATTTATTAACATGCTACGTTTCGATACACATACAGATATCGTTATCAAGCAAATAATTTAAATTCAGAAGTAGTATATCCATATAAGTGTTTTTAATTTGACTAATTATACTGTATAATAGTCATAAAGCCATGGAGCTTTTTTAATCAAGAATATTAAAAAGTCTATACAGTATTATTAATTTTGTATAATTTACAGGTTGATCTTGATTCTGGGTTAAAATATGAAGAAGCTTATTATGCACAGGTAAATAAATAATATATTAATGGGCAGAGAAAACACAATGTCTTATAACTGCACAGTTGAACTCAGATAGAATAAATGTGGACAGTACCAGTACAATTGTTTAAAATAATATGATATGTATCCACTAAACTACTGTCTGAAACATATCTGATTAAAAATTTCATTAGCACTCTGTCATGTTGTCCCTTTTAAAAGTGATGTATTTAACTTTGTGTTTTTGTTTTTATAGATTATTCCGACTAAAGACCGATTAGAAGGCCTTCAAGCATTTAAAGAGAAAAGAAAACCAAAATATCAGGGACATTAAAAGAATCGACTGTACTTATTACACATGAGATTCAAGATTCTTTATCAGCGGTAAATCCTAAATGTTTCAAAATTATTTTCATTGCTCAGATGTATTCTATGTACTTAAGATGCAATGAAAATGCACCACTTTTATATCTGGATGTTTATAAATCTTGTCTGATAGAAACACTTTTTTTTCTAGTGCATAGCTACACCTAAAAGTCACTGAGTAAAATTCATTGAGGAAATCTATAATGATCTGCTATAGTGATAACAGGATAGACTTAAACTACTCGATGTCATTCCTTTCAAGGCTTTGTGTATATACAATGATGAAGTTGGAATAGTGGAGTGAAAGAGTATCATGTAGTATGACTGGTTAATAATAAAATGGTTGAAATACAATGTAGTGTAAAAATCAGAAGATTTATAATCGAGAAAAACAAATAGATAGCTCTCAGGGGATTTAATAAAAACAATAATTAGAATTCCAAATTTGGAATATTATCTTATCCTAGACAATAAGGTATTCTAGAAATAATAAAAGTTTATTAGTGGTTGATTTTTGTCATTTATGACACAATGAATGTAATTATTATAATGCTAATTTTATTATGTTGAATACTTTATGAAATGAGATACTTAATTAAATTTATGGAATTTGACTGGATAACCAAGAGTCATAGAATCAAATTAACCAGCTGAATATATAGAAGAGCAAGTTTTGGTAAGACATTGTACAAATATTTTTTATTTCATTGACTACATTGTCAGCAAGGCCATGCCAATTTTATTTTGTGTTTTACGGACCCTGATACATTAGAAGTAAAATAATAATAAAACTGAGAAAAAAAACCTTACAAAAATGGTGATTTTTACCAATGAGGCACAAAATTAAATTGACACGGCTTAATAACAGGAGAAAATAGTGCTGTATATCATTTGATATGATATTTTGTACATATACTGTATATGGATTTATAATACATTATTACTTGTTTAAATTTGTGGTTATTGTATAACATTACATACAAAAATTACTAAAACATATAATTTGTTTTACAACATCTAGTGTTTATGGTATTGTGGATTTAGATCGGAAGAGTGTTTATTTGTAAATTTAGACCTGCAGTATGATGGTTTTATTGTCCACCTTGAACTGTAGTTAATTCTGTCTGAAACCTTATCTGGTGCTACAAGAGTGTGTTGTACATTTTGTGATACAGTGGTCTTTTGTAAATCTGTGGCTACAATAACCATGATTTGAATCTGGTGCTGCAGTGGTATTTTGTAAATCTGATGCCACAATAAACGGGGTACTAATACATGGTACTACAATGTGACAACTTTTATAAATTTGGTGCTATAATCTGGTTTGTTGTCAGTCCGGTGCCAACATAGACCTGTTATAAATCTATAATCTGTTCTATTTATCAGTTTGGTGCTATCCTATACCTGTATAAATCTACAATCTGGTCTATTGTCAATTTGGTGCAAACCTGTTATAAATTTACAATCTAGTTTGCTGTCAGTCGGGTATTGCCATAGATTTCTTATAAATCTACAATCTAGTCTCGTGTTACCATATACCTAAACAGCTCTTTGCAGAGTGGTATTTTCCCAGTAGAGTTAGGCGAGGCTCTATTGAAAAACTACATACCAGTTACCAATCTCAGCGATATCTTAAAACTGATTGTAAAATGTGTACTTATCCAGCTACTTGACCACATTGAAAGTAATTCCCTCAACAACATATTTAAATCTACGTTTAAACTTTACCGCAGCACAGAAACAGCAATTATTAAAATAGCAAGTGATATTTTCCAGTCTATCGATGGACAACGATTACTCGTTTTCTAATGTTTTTTGACTTATCAGCTGCCTTTGACACTCTCTATAGTGTCGATATATGAACGACTTACTTGTAATTCTTGGAAGAAGAAATAGATGTTCGTGGAGTGGCCCTTGACTGGTTTCGGTCATATCTGTTCAAGCGAAAGCAAACTGTTAATATCCAGGAAAAAAAACCAGGAAAAAAAAACGAACACATGACTCCCAATATAGAAACATCTTAATCGGCTTCCAGTTAGTGAACGAATAAAATTCAACAATCAAATCCTTAAATGACAAATACATAAGAGATCTTCTCATTGTGCACGGTCCTACTAGAAACTTAAATGATCAACGAATAAAAATCTATTGATGGTCCCAGCTGTTAATCTTGAGATAGGCCACCGTTCATTTGCTTATTCTGCCCCTTTTCTATGGAAATATTGTTACGCCATTCCTTATTATGTTTACCGATTGGAAGCAACCAGAAAAAACAAGGCGCGCCTTTTATGCCCAAAATTTTCATGTAAACGTATATTGTCGTCGCTCCTGTCCGCCCACAATTTGTTTGTGGACAACTACAGGTAACGCCGATTTTGTCGAAACTTGAAATACAGGTTTATCCCCCTAACATCTTGGATCCTTTCGAAATTTGCCTGTATCGGATTGTAAATTCATGGATTATGACCCCTGATTGTACGACAAATCATGTTTTTAGCTTGTGGACACTCTATCAAATTTTTTTATCTGATTTGATGAAACTTAAAATGTATGTTTATAACCCATAGATCTTGGTTCCTTTCGATATTCGCACATTTGAACGAATAATCACGTTTTTAGCTTGTGAACACTCTAGGGGTCACAATTTTTATCCGATTTTGATGAAACTTGAAATGTATCTTTATAACCCATAGATCTTGGTTTCGTTCGATATTCGCACATATCGGAGCGTCACTTCCTGGATTATGGCCCCTTTTGACGAAAAATCGTGTTTTAGCTTGTGGCCCCTCTCGGGTTCGAATTATATTTTCAAAACTAGAAGTAATTGTTTGCTTCTTATTTTTAAAATTAGAAGCAAGAACTTTCAATAGTTGTAATCACACAAACAATCCAAATTTAATACATTTTATTGCCTGGTACCAAATGGAATATAGAAATTGATTGTTTGGATCTTTGTTCATTCAATCACCACGTGTTCACAAATGTGTATTTTCTTGGTATTTAAAAATACGGTAATCATACTTTACACAAAAATACTATGGCAGTGCCGAAGTGCTGTTTTCTGGGGGTTGTAGCTTATCCCAACACTAACGACGAAAACTCAGATAAATAGTTAAAATTTTACTTTTAATAAACGAGTGTCCAAAACTGGCTAACGGTCACAATAACGAGATAGGTATCGCTAGGGCGAGCCGGTCACCAGACTAAAGTTACAAGCTTAGGATAAAAATAATTATATAATAATATTTGATCAGAGTGTTAAATTGTACATAGGAAACAGACGTTTAAATACAGAAGAAGATATTGATATAGCAAGAACCCGTGTTAACTATAATTACGTAATATATATACATATCGTTACATTAAGTGTAAACCCAAACAGTTAAAAGACTTCAAAGATTAATGAGATATCAATTCGGACATTGGTCAATTACTTCATTAACTAAAATTATATAATAAAATATATACAAATTTAAGATACACAATAACAACAGTAGTATTTTAGTTACGATATATAAGAGGTCACAATTTTTATCCGATTTAGAAACCAAAGGATAAAAATGTAAGTATATTGTTAGTGCTGCATAGTTGAAGTTAAATTCTATAACTTTCTAGAGAACTAACTTGTATCCCCAAGTCAATTTTATAATCTGGGCCCCTATCTTTTTGCTAAGAGGGTTCTATAGATATTATATGGTTTCCTACATATTACATGTACTTCTATTGGGAACTGTAGGCCTACGGTATTTATATTATATGGATCAGATAGGCTACATGTTGTTTCTCTGAGAAATAATAATTAGGCCGATAGTTTTATTGCACAACAATAAAGTCCAGTGGGAGTGCTCTAGGAGTCAGTTATTAAATGTCATAGGCCTTTTCAGATACATAGAGGAAATTTGTCGTTTTAGAGTGAATAACATATTTTATTTCATCGAGAAGCAAGAAAACTTATATTTTCACGAACGCATTCGTGAAAATATAAACGTTTTCTTGCTTAGAGATGAAATAAAATATGTTATTCACGACAAAACGACAAATGTTCTATTTATTTTATGATTTTACAATCATTTTAGGTAAAAACAACATGGACTACTGATAGCCAGTTTAATAACACTTTTATTTCACTGATAAAACGCGGTATTCCACTACTGATCATAAAATAAAATATATTACGGTAAGCTAGTCGAGGCTATCAAGAAGTTTTTGTACGGGAAAACGGAATCACATACGTACAGCATCTCTCTGGAAAATTCTTTTGTGTTTTCCCCCCTTCTCTCCCAGCTATAAACCCCAACCCTTATTCAAACCGGTAATGCGAATGTTGAACCGATTCTGAATCTGATATCTTGTGAAGCATATAATTTTATGATTCTACACTTCAATCTACTTTCAATTTGCTAAATTTTGTAGTGGTCTGATTCCAACATGCGACATATTGTGAATACCTGCTGAAAGAGAACACGGTACTTCACTACTTTCTCTGCCTTTGTTGTGATATTTGTATTTTTGTCCGATCTCGGGAGATTTTCTGTTTAGCGTCAATAGCTAGACACTGTCTGAATATCAAGGCTACATTGGTATAGATCTTCCAAATTACGTCTGATTCCTGAAACATTTCGATTGATAATATGACTGAGTCTGGTCTGGTGTTACTGTTTGTTTAGATGACACAGCAATAATTTAAAGTGATTCTTGTGTGGAAGACAAAATTGCCAATATTATTCGGAAAGATGACGCAGCGTTAATTTAGATGTTTTTGCTCTTAAGACAAACTGACAATAATATTGGTTTAGATGACTTAGCAATAACTAAAGATAGGTGATTTTTGTATGTTAGGGCGTTCCATAAACTTAATTGACCGTGAAAGCCCTGTCAACCGAGAAACAAATTGGCCCCGCCCTTTGTTATAGTCTCGAAGAACAAGCCATGTGTGAGAATGTTATATAAAGCACGGGTCTGGGTGTCCAAGTCGTTTATTTCATTCTTGAGTAAATTTGTGATAGCAGTTGTAATTGTGAACTTGTTGTATCTCGGAGTGACTGCATATATCAAGATGACTGAACAACCTTCAACAGAATCTTTCCTTGAGCGAATGCGATCAACCCTTGAACAAGAAGGACATGGATCTTCTCATGTTTTTGTCATTTTAGGGGCCTCAGTAAGTTAATTTTTTCTTGATAATTTCACTGACATTTGGTCATTTTGACTTCATATCAATTTCTTTCATTCATTCTATCTAGGCTACTCATAGAAGAATGAACTTTTTTTTTACTACAGCAATAGCGTGAGATACAAATTGATAGATAAGATGTCACCCAATTGTCATATCAGTATCATACCATATCACGTCTATATTGTCATGTACTGCATGGGCAATGACCATATAAGATTACTGTAATGCCGGGAAATGAAACCGGTTATATAAACGTCCAAATTTTTAGCAGGAATAAGACTATACACTTAAATTGTAGCTAAAAAAATATTGTTGATTTTATTTCTGTATTGATTTGATCAAGATTAAAAAATAATACGGAATATGTACAGTTGACACCTAATACATGGTCTTCCTAGCCCTCCTAGCCAGTGGGCACCCCTAGCCACTGGGCACCCCAAATTACTACCCCCCTGTACCTGCAGATCCTGACCCAATCCCCATCTGTACGTCTATCTACACACAAGCACACTCCCTAAGTACCAACACAAATCTTAAACAAAATGATCTGTGCTTATATTAAAATCGTTAATTGTTAAATGTTTTCATTAGGCCTACTATGGTACCACACTGAACAGCATAGACGACCTTAGCCAAATATGCTTAGTCATTCGAATGGGACAAAAAGACCTGCATGTCCGATAAAAAGCAGTAAATATACCAACCTTGTAGAAATTTCCGAAAAAATGATTTAAAGGTTTACTGTCATTTTGTCACACTCACTAATGTGCCACTATTCTGTATTAATATTGATAATTTTTCTTTGACGTCATTAATTCCTTTTAACCAAGTAAAATGAATGTTGTTTTTTTCCCGTTCAATTCATTATGGTAAGGTAAGTATTTTAAAAAAGAAAACGGCTCTTTATAAAGCCTTATATTCACAAGTCAACATATTTCCTTATACTACTAGACTACCCCCAATAAGTTAATATAAATCACAACATGGGTTAGGGTGGCAAGTTTAACTCTTGCTTTGAGAACATGGAAGAAAAGTAAAAGGTAACAATTACTGTTTAAAGTGAATGCATAACATTTTACCAAAATACAGCAGCATATGATTGATTAAATTGATACTTTTGGTACACTGAAACTGGTTTAATCAGAACTACATGTACAAGATGCCATTATTTACCTTTTGTCCCCAAAATTTTCAGGGAAAATGTTGAGATAATCTACATGTATGGGCTGGTGGACCAATATGTTAAATTTTAACATTGTTAAAATAAAATGAGGGTTTACCATTTAATCACACTGTGACCTAGATTGTATTAAGTGGACTCTACACCCTATTTCTTACTGTCATTCATTTAATAAAACTTTTTACACAATTGTTAAACAAGAAAGTTAGTGAAAAAGTAGCAGAAAATATTAAGATAAGTGAAACTTAAACCCCATAACATTGGTAACTTGTTAGATGATCATATTTTCCATGCATTGTAAGAATTATAAAACATTACAAATGTACAATGTACCATAATCAGATATATATCTAATATACTTCCATGTCTATTTTATTTATAATCGGGGTCATATAGACCTATTATTATTCAGGATATCCTTGTTGGCTAGTCACGGTCCCACATAGTATGTACAGTAAACATTATAGTTGGGTTATGGTAGCCCTCGGCTTAACAGTATGTTTTTACATCCTTGTCAGTTTTTTGTATCCTGGTCAGTTCCTGTGTCCTCTAATCAATAAGGACTCATCTTCGATTTACCATTTACCAGGCATTATAGACTACTGTATTTGTTGCTATATTTTGAATGTTTACCAGGTGCACCAAGGCCATTCTTACATAAAAAATAAAGACATGAAATGAAATGAAATGGGGTTTAACGTCCTACTGTTTTGCTTCGAACTGGGCAAATGAAGACGGGCATACGCCATACAGTGTGCTATGAGGTAAATTTTGCCCGGACAGCGGCACTACGGCCTACTCTTATATCGAATTCCAGCTGTCAAGGGATCTTTTACGTGCACGCCAATGTGTACATGTACACGGAACCTCGGTTTTTCATCTCATACAAATGACTAGACAGCTGTCCTTGTCAGGCCCTCTGTCCTGCATCACTGAGAATGGGAAACCAAACCAGAAAATCTGGATGAACTTTCTCGGCCAATGCAGGGATAAAAATAAAGACATCATGTTTAGATGCATGTAACTACGTGTGTAGTTCTTGTATCAGTAAATGTGTCATGTTTAGTACAGGTTTGTAAGTTTTCGTTTGCATTCCTTTACATTAATATGGCATAATCATATGAACCTGCTCTCACCACTAGCCACTGCTAAAATGTCCATAATGCCAATTAAAATGAGAAATGATATGAAAATGGTCCCACGCCTTAAGTTGAATTTCAAATACCAACTGTCAATGGTTCTTTACTTCTCTTACTTGCTCAGGACTTTGGTTTTGTGTCCCATCCAAACAAATGGACACTGTTCCTTTCCAGACTCTCTGTCCTTCACCACTGACAAGGTGGAACCGTCCTGGAAAATCATGTGGATCTTTGTCGGCCAACATCGGGATCTTGTAGCTTGTTAGTACATTGTGTAAGGTCTGGTTTTGATTAGTTTCTGATAGTAACGAATATGTGTAACACCCTGGAGGTAGTAATTATCATCCAGTCTTTTTAGAATACATGTATATTGATTGATTTCTTTCAGTCCAATCTTTTTGATATATCACTATAACTTATATTATAAGCTATATAATATAAGCTCAAATATAAATGCAAGGACTAGGCCCTAATCCATTATTCCTCATTTACGTGACCAGTGATATAAATAACAATTTCTCTTTTTCATGATGGTTCTAAATATACTATTGATTTCGGAACAAATTACAGACAGCTAGTTTCAGATCTTTCGTCTGGGACACAAACATCAAGTCTTCAACGAGGCACATTTCTTTGTCCAAGTTCAGAAAAAGAATGATTTTTCCAGTTGATTAATTGATCATGTTTCATACGGTTGTAGAGATATTACTGTATGGTACACAGCTAATGGTTTAATCGTTGGATATAAAATTATTATATATAGTTCAGTCAACTCGTGTGTATAATTCAATTATTGCTTACTAAAATAATGACTTGCATCTAACATAAAGACATGAAATGAAATGAAATGTAGTTTAACGTCCTACTGTTCTGCTCCAAACCTGGTCTAATGAAGACGGGCATATACATAAAACTATGGTACATGTAGTGAACATTTGTACTAAAATAATCTGCCAGGGTTTAAGTAATGCAGGAAGTAAAATAAGATAATGGTGCAATTTGCTACTTCGATTTGGATTATTTACTGCATTGACACAAGATACTTAGACATATAGATAGAGCAGAAATTACTATTAATTCAGAAAAAGGTTGAAATTTTTATTGAGAGCATTACGTGTACCTTACCTTATTTAAATTAAATAGGTAGGAACTAGTTGTGTATGTTCCAATTGCATCTCCATGACCTTACCTACCATTTATCAATAATATTGCAAAACAAATGTTGGTAAATTACACGAATCCACACTATCCTCGATGTCGGCATGTGAAGGCAAACATTTACAAGGAGAACAATACTGAATTCAAAAAGAGTAAGCATGTACTGTCTTGACTTGTGCATGATACTCATGCTACAGTACATAACATACATGTACATTTTGTAAGTAACATAGTGCAATACAAATACAATGTAGTTTTAGCCTAATAATTAGCCTCTTAGGCCCATATTCTTCAAAATTAGATTAGTGCTAATCATAGATTTAATCTCTGATTTTCTTACCAGTCATATTCTGGAAAGCTGACCAGATTTTAAACTGAGATTTTTATAAACATTGATTAGCCTATAATCATTGAGTAAATCATTCAAGAATACCATAAAATGTGATATTCTGGAACGTTGACTTGTACTTAATCTTTGATTAAGTCACCCCAAATGTTAGTCATCTCAGGGGGGTAGTTGAAGGAAGGATTAAGTGCATGGATATGCCATTATGATGTATTCAGTTATGCAATTATGAACCAAATAAGCATAAAACGACATTTATTTTGAAATGAAATAGGGTTTAACGTCCTTATCTGCTTCTGCTGGGCTTATACAGTTTGGCATCAGAGTATTTTGTCAAGGAAGAGCAGCAGTATGGACTACTCTTATTTCGAATTCCGACTGCAAGGGGCTCTTTTTGGTCAACGGGACCTCGTTTTTTCGCACCTTCAGTTCTGCACCAGTGATAATGGGTAACCAACCAGTCAGGAAAATCCAGATGAACCTTCTCTGCCAACAGCACGAGAGAGTTCCTGGTTAGTGAGCCAGCATCTTACCCACAGGGGATATATGGTGTTAAAAATAAATAAAATTTATTTATTTTTAACACCATATATCCCCTTTCTCCATAATTCACACACATTTTTCGCATACTCAACTTACGCTGCCTGCCTATAATTATACATGTATATATTTTTGCTTTATGCAGTTTCATATCTTCTCACAATATTTCCAACAAAGAGATGTCAGAAATGAAACACAGACAGTCAAGTTCAAAGCCGAGCAAATTCAATAATTGTATTTTATGTCTTTGATGCTTTAGAATTACAAATATACTGTTCATGTTTTTATATAATAATCAATATTATATTTAATATATCTCATGAAATTTTATGTAACTGGCACTCAGTTGTATGTATAAAAATTGCATTTTACTTTAATGGGGAGAGAATGCAGATTCTGGCTTCAATAATCAATATTATATTTAATATATCTCATGAAATTTTATGTAACTGGCACTCAGTTGTATGTATAAAAATTGCATTTTACTTTAATGGGGAGAGAATGCAGATTCTGGCTTCAGAATCTTCATTGACTACATACTGTTTGTCTTCTTGAATGGCAAATACAGATTATTCAGTTTGGATATTTGATCCAAATGATTTCAATTTTGACTTTTTCTAAT